TTTCGTAATATTTAATATTTATTCTTACTCCTAATATTTTTTCTATAAGGCCTAACGTTTTCCCAATTGATAAAAAAGTATTGGAAATATTAGATGAATGATTAAATGTATACGAATATATTTTATTTAAACATTATATTATTTTTGCAGGGTGTCCAGTGAATCAATAAATAGTTTGTCAACTTGGAGTGAATGTCGACAGTGTAAGAGCATTATGCTGGAACAGGATATTCACAAACACATTACAGATCAGTGTTCCTTGAGAAGTGAAGCTGATCTTTTTCATTGTGAAAATATATCTGATAGCACAATTTCTAGGATCAAAAAATGCGGTATGTAACAATTTGATTTATATAATTTTTATTTATTTATCTCTCTAATTTATAATTATGTATCTTACAGATTTTGAATCTTCTGTAGGTGGCTATAAAAACCTAATAGATGAAATAAAACAACATGTCGACAATGTACTTCAAAATAAATTAATTAGCCGTATATTATTACACGGTCAGCCTGGTGTTGGCAAATCTGTGATTGCCAAGGCCGTTCTCGCTGGATCTGGGGTGACCATTTTTTCTGAACACAGTTCAAATATACGTAAAAAGTGTCCCCACAATGCCACAAATAAGCTCAAACGCTTATTTAACAAAATAAAGCCACACATTCCAACTCTAATTTTGCTAGAAGACATTGAATTATTGTTCCCCGTATTTGATTCTAACGAAGACATGATTTTTGACGAAATTTCATATTTCTTTGATGACATAAACAGCGATTATAGAGTAGTGTTAATAGCCACAACGAATTTAAATGCTTTAAGCCTAAATCATGCGAGAGATTTTTTTGACGTAGAATTTGAAGTTTGCATACCGAATAAATACACACGTGTAGAAATATTGAGAAAATTACTTGAGAAGATTCCAAATACACTTACAACAAATGATTTAAAGGAAATTGCCAACACCACTCGTGACTTTGTTGGTGCAGATTTGCGCTCTTTGTGTTCAAAAGCGATATTCTATGCAGTGCAATCCGAACCGGACTCTGCGACAAAGCAAGTTGTGTCAAAAGATGATTTTGATGCAGCGTTGCAAGTAGTAAAACCTATGAATACAGTCGTAAAAGAAGATCTGAATGTAAAATGGTCAGACATCTGTGGACAGCGGAAGTTGAAGAATAAATTAGAGCAGGCTCTCGAATGGCCTCATATACATTATGAAGCATTCCAAAGACTGCGCATTGAGCCTCCAACTGGTGTTTTGATAATTGGGCCGCCAGGATGCTCGAAAACTATGATCGCGAAAGCTTTTGCTACTAAAAAGTCACTAAGAAAGAAACTAAACTTTCTGAGTATTAAGGTAAGTTGTTTAAAATGTGCTTATGTTTTCGTTATTTCATTGTAGAATTGTTTGTAGGGTCCAGAAATATTTGCGGATTCGGTTGACGATCCCGAGAAAATGGTGATAGAATTATTCCAAAAAGCGAGAGAAATGGCACCGGCTATTGTATTTATCGATGAGATAGATGCAATAGCTGATATACATTTCGAATCTGGTGGATATAATTATAATAACAATATCTATGCAAGTATAAAGAGACAAGTGCTGACTCAATTACTGAATCAACTTGATAGTATGAAACACAATGGAGTCACCCTGTTGGCGACTACTAATCGATCACAATCTAGTTTGGCCAAAGTAAGTTTCACATACATATATCGATTAAAATGTAAATGAATAGTTATCTAAAGTCAGCGGTACACGATGCGTTTTTGTCTGCTGAATCGCTTGCGAACTAGTAAATTACTAAAAATGTATGCTGTGTGATGCATTTCTAGCATTTTATTAGCTCGCAACCAGCAGACAAAAAGGCATATCGTGTGTCGCTGGCTTGATACAGAATGCGCCGCTGAGTTACGATATTTTTCGCTGCATTATTATAAGAAACTAAAAGGAGTGACGGGAAATTTAACAGTTCTAATCTCTTTGTTATAAAGTGCAGTTTCATTAGCCATAGTATTAATTTTTAAGACATCTGTTTGCTGGACGCCTAATTTCGTAAAATGGCGATTTTAATTGCCCGGCAAGATCGTTTGACCTGATAACATCTGACTATCATTTATGGGGGTATTTAAAATCTCGTTTTTCTGACAAAAGGTCTTGTATACTTCAGAACTTGAAGAATAACATAACAAATGCCATTAGAACAATTGATAACAATTGATAGCAAACAGTTACGCGTAATTTTCGTGAATTTACGTATGCAAGAATGTGTTTAACGCCGCCGTTCGCATTTAAATAATGTAATTTTTAAAAAGTAATTTCTACCAAATTCTATTCTACTAAAAATCGTTACAACTCACTGGCACATCCTGTACAAAATAAATCTTAAAAACCAGTTTTTTTTTTGGTTGCAACTTTTTTAGAATAAGAAAAAATATTTTTATTATTTATTATTATATGATTGTAACAGTGATAATATTAATAATTTATTAATTCTATTAGGATATTTTCCATACTGGACGATTGGAACGTGTAATATATGCTAAATTACCAAATAATTCTACACGTAAAAAAATATTCAAATTAAAATTCCAAAAGATGTCCGTTCAAGAGGATATAAATATCAAAAAATTGATTCAGTTAACGAATGGTTACACTTGTGCGGAACTTGAGGCGATATGTAATGAAGCTAGTATATTAGCATTACAGGAGACCTATTGCATTGATATTATTAAAACAAGCCATTTTCTCAAGGCACTTAAATATGTCCACCGAAAAACACCTCGTGCAATCATAGATCATTATATAGATTTCATGAAAGTAGCTAACAGAAACCACCATTTAAGAGATATTTCATCAGATCACCCAACTGATTTAGAGAGAGAAGGCATGTTCAAATCAAATTTCCAATCGATGCTGGTTGAAGAGGATATAAATATTAAAGAATTGGTTGAGTTAACGAGTGAATTTAGTTCTGCGGAATTTAATATAGTGTGCACTCAAGTTGGCATATTAGCATTAGAGGAGAGCTTCTGCATTGATGCCATTAAAAAACGCCATTTCCTTAGAATAATCAACTTGCTACGCTTGCTACGCTTTACATCATGAAAATGAAAATTATGATGAAATTGTGGCAGATATGGAAAATAATGTTCCCGCGATATAACGTATAATGTAAAAAATAATGTTTTGATAATGTTAAAATAATGTTTAAATAATGTTTAAACTTCTTAGAACGCATGATTATATTTTGTGATATTTGCACATTAAATTCCGCATAACTAAATTCACTCGTTAACTCAACCAATGTTTTAATATTTATATCCTCTTCAACCAGCATCGATTGGAAATTTGATTCAAATATATTAACTGCGATATTATTATATTAACTGTAATATAATATTAAACTTATATTTTTATAAATTTTTATAAATTTAAATAACGTTTTCGACTTCTTAGAACGCATGATTATATTTTGTGATATTTGCACATTAAATTCCGCATAACTAAATTCACTCGTTAACTCAATCAATTCTTTAATATTTATATCCTTTTCAACCAGCATCGATTGGAAATTTGATTCGAACATATTAACTGCGATATTATTATATTAACTGTAATATAATATTAAATTTATATTTTTATAAATTTTTACAAATTTATATTTATTTTTATATTTATATTTATTTATATTTATTATATTTATTTTATAAATTTTTATAAATTTATATTTATAATTTATGTAGATAATAATAAATGAATTTTTTAAAATTATTTGCCTACACTTGATCCATTTATTTATAGGTGTTGTTTTGTAAAGTGAACGTTAATACACAGTTATGTACACACATACACACACACACACACGCGCGCGCGCGCGCGCACATATCACGAGCTGATTTACACTGATTGTTTTAGTATTATATTCATACTAATTGGTTTGATTTCATAATAAATACATGAAAAACATATAATGCGAATTTAATATAGATATATAAAGTGTAAATTAATAGTAATTATATGAGCAACAACAGTTTTTTCAATATGTGCTCAAGATATTGTGTATTCATTTCTATTGTGTATTCATTTCTATGATCATATCACAGAATGACGCAATTTATTATCGTCGGAAGTTACCTTATAATAATGTAGTAAATGTACAATCACATTTATGTCAAAGTCAATTCTCCAAAAATTTAATAAACCTTTATCCTAGATTAATCGATTCTTTTTTTTTTTTATTACAATGTTTGTCAAAGTTGCAAAGGACAATTTTTAATGTATAGAAACTTGTATTTTTATCTCTAATGGCAAGTGACTAATTAATATCTGGTTTTTATTTTTATTTTACAATTTTTTACGTAAAATTTCTGAACAATTTTTATTTTATAAAAATAAAAAATGTTAATTGTTAAATTTTTTTTGTATATTAGAGTTCAAAATTTGTTTGAAAAAAGGCGAAATCTTTATCAATTTTGAAAATGATATATTAACTTCACTGAGATAAAAAAAGTATTTCAATCATGTAAAACAATGCGTATAAGCAAATTACATTTTCTAATAAAGCTACATTGAAGATCACACATAATAACCAATCGCGTTTCTTTTAATATATTAAAATATTACATAGAATAAATAATAACAAACAAAATTAAGAAAATTATAGATTATAGGATTTTCCACAAATGTCGACTAACTTTAATGAATCATTGAAACTTGACAAAAGAGAAAAAAATTTAATACTTTTTTCTCCTTTAATGACGATATTTTATTATGCTGGCAATGTTGTCGACGACGAAAAAATAATCACTCTATGACAGAAATTTAAAAAAATAGTTAAATCGATTATTTAAAAGTCGATAATGGTACGTAATCTAGTGGATTTACAGTTTTGATTAGGCGAAAGTAACTATCGCGTTTTTTGTGTAGAGCTCAATGGTCATACGGAGTAGGGTTTTGGAACGCTTGTAAGTAAAGTTAGGTGATTCTAAAGTTCTAGTCAGTTTAGGTTAAAGTTTAATGTTTATCTCGTTTATCTTGTTAGCCTTATCTTGCATTTGGTTGCAACTCGGTGTTCGTAATGTTCGAATTATTCATCACGTGGTTGAATCTTAAAATATTTCGTGTGGTTTTTAAATGAATAAGAAGCCAGGATTTTATTAAATTGCAGAATAAAAGTGAAAACAAATTGTTTATTAAGTAAGAACATAATTTATAAATTTTATTAAATACAGTAGAATAAAAATTAAAGAAAATTACTGTGCATAGTATACGCACCTATTGCATGAACGTTAGATAAGTTATTTGTATTATGTTTTTATCATGAATAAAGTTAAATTATTCTTTTTATAATCTAAATATATACAAATATATGTATACATATATTTTATTTAATCATTATATTATTTCTGCAGGATGTCCAGTAAATCGAGAAAGAGTTTGTCAACTTGGTATACATGTGAAAAGTGTAAAAGTGTTATGCTGGAGAAGGATGCTCACAAACACGTTAAATGTCCATCCACAGAATGTGGGAGTTTTGAAACTGCAGAATCTTGGACTTATCCTTTTCATTATATGAACATATTTCATAGCGCTATTTCAAGGGTCGAGGAATGCGGTATATAACAGTTTGATTTATATAATTTTTATTTGTTTACCGCAGTAATCCATAATTATGTATCACAGAATTACTTGATGAAGTGTCAGCGGCACGTTACGACGATGCAGTGTTTCTATCAAAGTCTGTTATGGATTTGTGTGGGATTGAAGCAGGATCACTATGTCTTCTCGTGACTACCGAAGTACTAAGTGTTAAAATTGCTTATCCAGTAGAAGATCAAAGTTTAACGAGTGTCTGTCTCCCAAAGCGTGGTAAATATATGGTGTTTTATTTTTATTTATTTATTTATTTATCTATCAAGTTTATTAGAAATTGATAAATCGTTCTTCTCTTTTATTATTTTTAGCTGATGATAAAGACCATTTATATGGATTAGTAAAAGTAAAATGTATACCCTCATATGTTATCATCAGTCCTGCTCAAGAGATTGTAATGATTCCTGTAGGAAACCACGGCGTGTCTAATGCAGAAAATGATTTTCAGGATAGAATAAAATTTAGTAATGAATTCAAGATATTTGTTATCGGCAATCTATCATACGTATATCATATTGGAAAAAAGTTATTATACAAAATTATTGACATCAATTCAGAGAAAAATAAGATAAGGAAGAAAATTTCAATAAATGACTACCCAGGGGAAGACATATTAAATCCTGTGGTAGCTTTTAAAAATATAAGGTTCATAGATAATTACCCTATATTTTTCAGAGCAACGTATTCAACGAATTATAAAATTCTGGATTCAGAGAAAGACAAAATTGCAAAGAGTATGTACAGTATTAAAGATATAGGAGGGTACGACTACCTTATATCAAATATAAGACGAGTAATCGAAATCGGTATTGGTAATTACAAGAATTTTGAAAACTTCAACATCACCAAAGGAATAATTCTACACGGTCATCCTGGTGTCGGTAAATCTATGATTGCCAGCGCCATTCTCTCAGCATCTGGGGTTGCTGTGTTCTCTATGCACAGCTCCGATATTTATAGCAAGTCTGTCAATGAAACCGAAGATAATATCAAACAATTGTTCGACAAAGCGATGTTGTACTCTCCTAGTGTAATATTATTGGAGGACATAGAGAATTTGTGTCCTAACAGAAGCAACTTTGGCTCGGATCACGAGAGAAGAGTCTTTTCCCAATTGATAACGTTCTTCGACGATATGCAAATCAATCAGAACAATGTCGTATTAATGGCCACAACCTCGAAATTAGATTCTGTGAACAGTTCTCTGAGAAGACCCGGCAGATTTGGCATAGAATTTGAGGTGTGCGTACCGACCTCGGACATACGTACAGAAATATTGAGAAAATTACTTGAGAAGATTCCGAATACGCTTACAACGATAGATGTAGAGGAAATTTCCTCCGTCACCCACGGCTTTGTTGGCGCCGATTTACACGGTTTGTGTTCGAAAGCGATATTCTATGCAGTGCAATCCGAACCGGACCCTTACGCAAAGCAAATGGTGTCGAAGGATCATTTTGACAAAGCCTTACACGTAACGAAACCTTCAGCTATGAACACAGTCTTGGTGGAAAATCCGAATGTGAAATGGTCAGATATCGGCGGACAAGAGTCATTGAAGCAGCTATTAGAGCAGGTGCTCGAATGGCCTCGTGAACATAGCGAAGAATTCCGAAGATTGGGCATTGAGCCTCCTAAAGGTGTTTTAATGTTCGGACCGCCAGGATGCTCGAAAACTATGGTCGCGAAAGCTATTGCTACCGAAAGTTCACTGAACTTTCTGAGTATTAAGGTAAGTTGTTTAAAATGTGCCGATGTTTCCGACACTGCATCGCGGAATTGTTCGTAGGGTCCAGAATTATTTTCGAAATGGGTTGGCGAGTCCGAGAAAGCTGTGAGAGAAGTATTCCGAAAAGCGAGACAAGTGGCACCGGCTATCGTATTTATCGATGAAATAGATGCATTAGGTGGTGAAAGAGCCTCTTCTACTGGTAGTGGCAGTAATGTGCAGGAACGAGTGCTGGCTCAGTTACTGACTGAACTTGACGGTATCACCAAACGCGATGATGTCATGCTTTTGGCGGCCACTAATCGACCGGATAAAATGGACAAGGTAAATTTAAAACATATTAAAACGTAAATAAGTAGTTACGTAAGACAAAATCAAGAACCTGTTTTTTTGATTGCTTTTGTAGAATAAGAACAGGTATTGAAAACAAAATTCCATTGTGTCATAATCATTGAATTGGCATTTAAAATATATTTAAAAGTAATGTACTAAATTCTTTTTACTTTGAATACAATCAAAATTAAATTATGTAGAAAAAAATTGTATATAGAAAAAGTTTCGAAAAGCAGAAAATTTTACATTTTGTAATTATGACTAATTAATGTGTTTAAAGAATGTATCTATAAAATAAAATTCCAAATTTCGTAAAAAAATTAAACTTGAAACGAAAGTTTCTAGTATTTTTTAATTAACGATATCAAGCATTTTATCATTTCTTTAAACCTTATTTTATCTATAGAATTCTGATTATAATAGTTGTTTTTATTATCTATTATTATTGTAACTAATAATATTAATCATAATTCTATTAGGCACTTCTCCGGCCTGGACGATTCGACCGCATAATATATGTTGGATTGCCAGACGAGTCAACCAGAGAAGAAATATTCAAACTAAAGTTCCAAAAGATGTCGGTTGAAGAAAATATTAATATTGATGAATTGGTTAAGTTAACAGATGGTTATACTTGTGCAGAACTTGAAGCAATATGCAATGAAGCTGGCATAGTAGCAATACAAGAAGGACTCAGTGCTAAAACCTACATTGATGTCATTAAAAGAAGCCATTTCCACAGGGCACTCAAACAGCTCCATCCTAGAACGCCTCGTTCACTTATACAAATTTATGACAATTACTGTAAGGAAAATATTTCATATCGTGGGCTTAATTGTTGATGTTTGGACTTTTTATAGAACGCATAATTATATTTTATAATAAAAACTTTTATAATTTTAGTTTTTGATTCTCTCATACTTTTTGCACTTCAGATAAAAATCTAATTCGTATATACTTGTATATAAACTCAATAAACTAATTATCTCTAAAATTTAGCGCACATTTATATTACAATGATATTTATAAAATTATACTTGCATACAAATTTTATCGCAGATGAATTGCGAGTGTTTACATTAAAAAATAAAAGTTATATAAAACATGAATCCATTTTTATTAATTCACAATCGTAATCATTTTATTTTTATGTATGTAGATAATAATATTACAGAGAACTTTTGGTTATTTTAAATTATGATTGCCTATATTTGATACATTTATTTATAGATTTGTCAGCAGAAGTTAATACACAATTATATTCGCACACACATATACATGTATATATGTCAACGAGCTAGTTTATACTGATTGTTTCAGTTTATATTATATTCATACTAATTGGTTTGGTTTTATAATAAAAATAATATGCAATGCGAATTTAATACAGATATAAGAAAATTGATATAGCAATTGTGAGCAACAGTTTTCTCAATATGTTTTCAAGGTAATAAGAATTCTGGATGGTAAATGTACAATCATATTTATGTCAAGGTCAATTCTCCAAAAACTTGATCAACCTTTATTTTATATTAATCGATTTCTTCTTTTTTAAGATCACAATGCTTATCAAAATTGCAAATTACATTGAATAACTTATTTAGACGTACTTACTACTCGACGTTAATATTCTTATTTCGTTCTAATTCGCTTATCAATGTGGAGTACACACGGTATACATACACATACACGTGACGCGTTCACAGTCTCGCACGAGAAAGGGAAAGACGATCACATTAATTATTAATCAATTCAGGTACGTCGCTGTCTGTCACAAACTACTATCTGCGTCGTTTCCAGATGTTTGTCGGTTGGATTTTTGCGTGTGTTTCGCTGTTAAGTCATTGTTGCGTTACACATCCAAGAAGCTGAAAGAACTACGTGTCCGAGAAACACTTCCTCGTCAATAAAAACACGAGCTGTTGGACAGATTTACTGAACGAATGACTTAACGATCAGAACGCTGTTTCTTAACACGCAATTGCTCAGAATCGTCGAATTGTGCCATGAAACGTCGTTCTTCGAGAAAGGAACATTTATTTTGCAACATAAGTCTCTGTTGACAAATCTGTTTCTCGACAAGATAACCTCTTAGAGAATATTATTGCAGTCTTTTTTGCTATGTAAGGCTACGTTTTTGTTTCATAACTATTAATTGCTTTTCAATGTTAATTAATAAATGTGTGTAACCTCGTGAGATTTGTAAAAAACAATTGCCGTTTGTTGCTGACAAAGTGTTTAGCCTTAAAAAGTTCAATCCTGCGGTTTGAAGAAATAATAATAAAATTTCAATGAAAACAGTCTTATAAATATTATCATCTCATAAATAATGCTTAAACAGTTTTAAAATCTAGTGTATTTCTCACAAGAGGTCTTAAATCAATGCTTTTTCTATACGTTAAATAAGGTAAAATGTAAACGATTTAATATTGTTTCTTTTTAACAGATCTATTTTGAATAAGATGTCTTTGATCGAAGGAGTGGGTGATGAAGTCACAAATTTTTTTATTATCATGAGTATACTATTTGTGGGATGGCTCGCTTGGTGTTCAACAAGTATAGCTGATCAGCCTCTAATACGCACAGTACTCATATTGCGTGATCGGACACCAGCACGCATCACGACAATAAGAACGAATCAGCAAAACACAAGTAATCTTAGTCATCAAGCTGGTCAACCTCCCAATTCTGAAACAACAGAAGAAGAAACAGCAGAAGTAGTTTCCAGTGATAGTGATAATATCCAATCAGACTGTCCAAATGCAGCTGCCACGGGTAAATGTTGCCTTCTGTTTCTTTTGTTTTCCTTTGATAAGTTTAATCTTTATTTTATCATGTGATATTAGATACGAGTGAAACTACTCAAGAAATAACCAGACCAGTGGCATCTACGACGGAAGAAGTACTTATCCAATCTATGGACTCATTCAGTAACGATGGCCCATCGTTGTTACAAAGATCTGTTAAGGCAGATGATTCTGAACAATCATGCACTGATTCATCAGAAAATACAACTTTAAATGAGAATAGCAACGAGATCACCATAAAATTAAAGCTCATGAATGATGATCAGAAGTTAGTGACTGGCAGTCTTAAAGAAATGCTCGGCGATTTCAAAAGGTCAGTCCAAGATTTGATGTAATGCATTATATGTTATTCAAATACATTATAATTGATATCAACTCATATGATCCAAAGTTTCGACAAATTTATAATAAAATTATAATGAAAACGATTTTATGAATCGTCGTAAGTAGTGCGTTTCAGCATATCTAGTTCAGCAATTCAACAATTCTGTTTTGTAGGAGGCACTTTCAAATGGAATTAGAGGCCCATAAATCAGTGCGATTAATATTCAACGGCCGAGTATTGCAGCCCGACACTCAAACCCTTGAGCAATGTGGATTGTTTAACGATTGCGTGGTCCACTGTTGGGTGGTACAGCCGCGGCCAGCCGTTGTACCGTCGTCACAGACGTCCACATTGGATAATTCGTCATCCATCTATTTCAATTCTCAGCCGTTGTCGGACCTGCCGTCCGGCACGGGCTTCAGCTCGGTGCACACTGAGTGGGATCTGAGCCGACTCCTAGTAAGCATCTTAACGATCGCTCTAGGTTTCGCATGGTACTCGCGATACCATTACGCTCAACTCTTCACCGCGACGACCACGCTCGCGCTCTATCTGCTAACCGCGATCTTCACCGTTTCCTTGTTTAGTAACTTTTTTCCCGATCAAGATAACATTCGGAATGTCGAATGAAACTATTTTAGTGTCGATGACACTATTATGCTTTGTATATGTTAGCACCTTACATGTAATTGATTTAATATATGATTTAACGTACAATGTACATTGGTTTGAAAGATGATCGATCGAATAGTAGTCTCCGTCACTGAGCATTTGCTTTTAGCGTAATATTTTCGAAAAGTTAATGTACAACACCGACAAATTTAGTACAGTTTGCAATTTCCATCATTCTGATGAATGTTAATCTCGGATCTTATTCCAACGATATTCAAGTTGTTTAACCGAAAAAGAATTGTATAATGTAATGCACATTTCTATTTGCTAAAACTTGTTTTCTACAGACACAGAAAACTAAAATTATCTCGTAAAATTACATATATTTTTTGTAGAAAATTTAAAAGAAAACTTTACAGAAATGATATCTGCCATTTTAACATACATACATTTTGCAACAAATATCACTATATGATGTTTCTAACATACGATATTACATTACATGACAATTGGAAAAAAAATATATATTGTATAATTGAAAAATATATATATATATATTATGTAATTTTTCTTTACAAATATAATACTAAAAGGATAACACTGTCCAATGAAGAAATATGAAAACATTAGTAATGTATTTATTTTGATTATAGTTAATTGTTATCAGTTGTGATTAATTTCAATTGTGTAAAAATATTTTCCAACTGGGTTTAGTTACAATTATTTTTTTTTGTCATTTTTATAATATGTTATATTGTTGGTGCTATGTAAAATCGCACATATCAAATTATACGTTGTAAATGTTTTGCCTCGCCGAGTTCAATGGAATTGATTTATATATTTAAGGCAATGCAGAGAAATGTGAGCAATTCTGTCTAATGATATGCGAGTGGCAACTAATATAACACGAGTATAAAGCAAATGCAGTTGAATCGGTGCTGTACGGATGATAAATGGAAAAAATAAGAAAGTTACATCACTCTACGATTTAAAACATCACAAACTAAAAGTATCGGTGCTTGCTTACGCGTGCAATTCATACGTGAGAAGTAATTGCGTAATGCGTCAATAAGGTTAATCCCTTTTGAAAGCTAGATGACTGGATAGGTGGATATAAGAAACCGATTTCGAGAAGAGCATAAAAACACAAGTATAATTTTTACCAAGTATTTAGGCTATAATGAAACGACGGGCAACATAGTGGTGTATCCTATTATCCCTGTGACTTACTGTATTATATCGTTTGTTAAAGAGTCGAATTCATAATTATATTACGATTGTTTTACCTAATGCTAATAAATGTCTATTTATTTGATATTTTTATTATATATGCTTTTTATTTTCCAGAAGCAAGCATAGAAAGCAAAGTTTGAAGTATATCGAAACATAAATATTTTCCTATCATTAATATTCAGTGATCATAAATTATCTTCCATAATGATCAAATGGAATGTGTATGATGCAAACAGGAAAATAAATATGGCGAAACTGTGGAAAAAAAATTAATAGTAACAATGTGACTTTGATGATCTTTATTTCTCGATTGTGAAAGAATGAATATAAATAAATTTTCATGGAGGGTACTCGTTTAAATTACACAATGCTGTGGTATTAAATTACAGTGCAAATAAATATACACGTAAATATACGTTGCAAGCTATATAAAATAATGAATATTATTTTTTTATAGCGCAAATACTTTAGTTAATATGAAAAAAAAGCGAATAACCTATGCCTCAGCTCTCATTTAACTCTTCAAATATTTCTATATTTCTATATTTCTTTAATTCTTTATTGCTTCTAGTAAAATATTATAAAATGTTATCTTAGGAACCTGAGAAAAATGGTAACAGCATAACTACGCGCTTACGAGATTTAAGCCTTTTCATTTTTTTTACAATATTAACAATGAAAAAATCAATATAAAGTATTACAAAACTCGGAAGTAAAAATCCACACGTGGAACGTTACAATTGTATTTCTAGTCCGCATTTTAAATTTAGAGAATCGTCCAGTTCAAAGTTTGGTTCATCGAAGAGTTTACGTATCCGGTCTTCCAGAGTCGCCGTATTCAACCTAAAACGACCTGTAGGATTTTCTAGAAGAATGGAACACTTGACCTTGCCGTTACAACGATTTATGTTGATAAAGTCGCAAAACGGGTCAGCCACGGACTTGACTTGGTCGATCTTGGATATTCCCGACTTCACGACTAGAATCGTTTTTTTATTCAATTTATCTATCGGCAACATGTCCGTAATCTTCTTATTATCCACGTACAAGTCGTATGAGCAATCGTTAATACCGTATATTAATTCAATCTCCTCTCTCAGGCGTTCGTACGTGATGGGCCCCAGCTTCGGGGAGTCCAGCAAAACCGTGGCCGTGACGTCCAACACGCCGAACCTCGGCTTTATACCGACCAGTAACAAATTGACGTAAGGCGACCAGGGTCCACGGACGCTTGCTCTCCGTTTCGCCAGTTGTTCGTTCTGTTTCGCCAGTTGTTCGTTCCGTTTCGCCAGTTGTTCGTTCTGTTTCGCCAGTTGTTCGTCCCGTTTCGTCAGTTGTTCGTTCCGTTTCGCCAGTTGTTCGTTCCGTTCGGCCACTCTGTAGTTGACCAGCGTGAGCTTTAGGATCTCCTTCTTGATCTTTTCCGTCGACGAAATAATTATATAATTTTTCGCTATTTTTGCCTCGCCTTGCGGGGTCCTGGTCTTGGCCTCGATGAAGTCCTTGTACTCGCGGAGCACACTGCTCAGCCGACTCTTTTCGTCGACTTCGTAGTAGACCTCGGCCATGTCCGTGGCCACCAGCTGAGCTTTCTTCCGCAGCTTCTGCACGCGATTGATTATCTCCCGCGCTATCCCCTCGTCGTACAGCTCCTCGTCCTGAATGATGTCCAGGAGGATCACCATGTTTCCCTCGCCGTGGGCTTCGTAGCGCTTCGACGCTTCTTCCGCGGCCGGGGAGCTCTTGAAGCTGAACATCAGACGCAGATCCTGCTCGCCGAGCTTGTGACCCAGCACGGTGATCTCCTTATCGGCGATGAACTGCTGCAGCTGCTCGTCGGTCAGCTCCTTAATCGCCTGCCAAACTCGCTTGAAGTCGTCCTTCAAGCGCGCGCCGAGTATCTTGTGATCCGGCTCCGCTCTCAGCGTCACGCCGTACTTGTCCTTGTCAAGGGTGGCCGTTAAAGTCCTGACGTTCAGCTCCTCAAGTATGTAGTCTTCTAGCAAGATCTTCAGCCTCTCAGCTTTCTCGTGAATCACCACGATTTCTCGCAGCGGATACTTTGTCGGTATGCTCTTCCTGTCGCGCACAATACGTCCTAGCTCGATGACGGTCTGCATCAGCGACACGGCGTACTCTATGTTCTCGTTGATCAGCCTCGTTTGCGGCTCCGGTATCAGCTGATAGTGCACACTGTCCATGTTCTCCTTGGACGGCGGCAGGTATTTCTTCAAGCGCTGGAACATGAATTCCGTGAGGAACGGCGTGAACGGCGCGTTTGTCCGCACCATCATGTAAAGCACCAGGAACAGGGTCTTCAGTGCGCGCTGACAATCCCGGACGCTGTTAGTCTCGCCCTTGATGCGTTTCCTGTTCATTCTCACGTACCAGTTCGTGAGATGTTCTATGTACTTGATCAAGTGAGGCACCACGGTGTACAATCTGTAAGCCTGCATCTCCTGCTTCACGAAGAGCAGTAGACTCTGCGTGAAGGATACAATCCACTGGTCCATCTTATTGGGGGATACAAAGTTCATGTCTTTTTCGCTGTTGAATTGAAAGAGGATTTTTTCCGATTTCTCGAACCGATCGATATTCTGCATGAGAAACCGGAACGCGTTGTACCACGGCAGAAAGACGTCCTTGATGACGTCGCGGACGCCGTCCTCCTTGAACCGTAGATTCTCGGCCCGCACGACCGGCGAGTTGATCAGATAGAGACGCAGGGCGTCCGCGCCGAATTGCTTCACCACCTCCATCGGATCGGGATAGTTCTTCTTGCGCTTCGACATCTTCTGTCCGTCGGACGCGAGGATCAGGCCGTTGGCGATGAGATTCTTGTACGGTGCTGTGTCGAACAGCGCGGTGGCTATCACGAGGAGCGTGTAGAACCAGCCGCGCGTCTGGTCGATGCCCTCCGCGATGAAGTCCGCCGGGAACCACTCGTTGAACCTTTCCACCCCTGTGCACTCGAACGGATAGTGCCTCTGCGCGTACGGCATGGCGCCGGACTCGAACCAGCAGTCGAAGACCTCTGGCACGCGACGCAACGGCGGGTGTCCCGGGCGCACCGACGGGATAGTTATGTCATCAATATTGTCGCGATGAATGTCGGATATGGAGTAGTCGATGCCGGCCAGACTTTGCAGCTCATCGATACTGCTGACGCAAACGATCTCCTTCTTGTCCTCGGATATCCACAGCGGCATCGGATTGCCCCAGTAACGATTTCTGCTGATCGCCCAGTCGCGCGCATCGCGCAGCCAGTTGCCGAACCGCTTGTCCTTCACGTAATCCGGCACCCAGTGAGTCTTCTCGTTCGCCGTTAACAATTTGTCCTTGAACTGCTCCACTTTCAGGAACCAAGAAGGCACGGCCTTGTAGATGAGCGGCGTGTCGGTTCGCCAGCAGAACGGATAGCTGTGCTTCACCGTGGTACTGATGATCAGCCTGTTCTTGCTACGGAGATACTTGATGATGTCCTTATCCGCGTCCTTGACGTACTTGCCGATGAAATCGGTCACCGGCTCGGTAAAGCGGCCGCAGCTGTCGACGGGACACACGCTCGGTATATCGTCCTTGTTTATGATACCGGCCTCCAGGCAGCATGCAAAATCGTCCTCTCCGAAATAGGGAGCTTGATGAACGATGCCGGTTCCAGTGTCGGCTGTGACGTAAGTATTATTCAGCACCCTGAAAGCACCCTTCTCTCTATAATGCGCAAAATAGGAAAACGGCGGTTCGTACGACTTCCCCTTCAACTCCACGCCCTTCCTTCTGCCTTGCACGGTGTACAGATCTGAGGATTTGAAAACGAGGCTCAACTGAGCCTCCAACATGATGTAAACATTACCGGAAGCGTTGTCTTTTACCTCCACGTATTCCAATTGCGGATTGGCGCACAACGCCAGATTACTAGGCAACGTCCACGGGGTGGTTGTCCATGCCAGAAGCGAGACACCCGGCTCGTCCAGCAAGGGGAAGGTCACGACTATCGACGGGTCAATGACATCCTTGTAATTCTGACCCGCTTCGAAGTTCGACAGCGACGTAGTGCAACCGGTGGAGTAAGGCATCACCTTGACGCCTTGATAAACCAGACCCTTTTTATACAGCTCGCTGAAGATCCACCAGATCGACTCCATGTACCAAGAATACATGGTCTTGTAGTCGTTCTTGAAGTCTATCCATCGGCCCATGCGATTGATGATTATCTCCCATTCGTTGGCATACCTCATCACGATATTGCGGCATTCAAGATTGTACGCTTTAATGCCCATCTTGGCGACATCGTCGGGTCCCTTGAGGCCGAATTTTGTATCGATCTCGGTCTCCACCGGCAGTCCATGACAATCCCAGCCGAAGCGGCGTTCCACGTGATGACCGCTTTGATACGCATACCTCGTCACGATGTCCTTTATGGTGCCGGCGAGAATATGGCCGTAATGTGGCAACCCGGTGGCGAACGGCGGCCCGTCATAGAAAGAAAATTTCGGCCGATTTTTCGACAAGCGCATGCTTTCTTGAAATACATCACGCTCTTTCCAGAATTCTAAAATCTTCGCCTCCTCTTACCTGCCGCGAAATTGATAATCTCCGGCAGTCTCTCGTTCATTATTTCGAAATTAACGAATATGTTACAAGATACTTCGTGCCGGCTGTTATTCTTGCCAAAATCGTTATCTTTCAAACGTCAGCAAGCGTACACGTTGATTGCGTCAGCTTTTCTGGTGAGGTTATGTACATCTTACGAATTCCAACAGGTTACAGTTACATTCCTTATGCTACCAACATAAGAACTATGAAGTTAGCAGATGAGATGCAGTGTTGCGATATGGGACCGGTTGTATGCGCATGTGCGGCTCTGCGCATGTGCGGTAATGGAGATCCAGTGCCGTTATATGTTGTGTGTTGACCGTATGGCGGGACGTTTTTGACATGAGGAAGTTAGGTGACTACAAATAAGGTAAGATTTATTTATTTACAAGCATGGAATCTACGGAGCCAGCAGCTAAAAAACCAAGAAGCAGAAAATTTCAAATCAATTTCAAAAAATTTTGAAATATTTTAAATGTAGGGGGGTAACGGTGTCTTGTTTAACTTGTATGAGACACTGTATTGCCGCACATGCGCATACAACCGGTCCCTAATCGGAACACTGATGAGATGGGGAGACAGCTGCAGCGCCACCATAATTTCTACCGCTGGAAATAACGAACTAAAAGTTTAGGAATGAGAGAATGCGCGCATTTAAAATTTTTTAATAATCAATATACTTAAAAAGTTAGTACAAAAATTAAAAATAGGTTACTAAGTGAATATTTAAAACTGAGTTTTTGAATTGCAATAAATTCCATACATCTGTAGAAAGAATCTCAAGTAGATTTGAAATATTTTTAAAATATTTAGAAGATTACTAATGATTGAAGTAATAAAAAAATTAATTAAAAGTAAACTGCTAAATTAAATATTAAATTAAGCTTATTAAATGTATCGGGTATCGAATTTTCGAGTTCCAGTATATCGATGCTACAATATTTCTTTATCCATTTTTATATTAATTTTTCTCCACACAACAATACTCTTATAGCAAAGATTGTTTTAAAAATAAATTCACATGAACAGGTATAATAAACACATGAGTTTTATTTCAATAAACATATTTATTATTTAACAAAATAATGTAAATTTTGTAAGTGCTCATTATGTTCATTTCGTTTCATTCTGCTTTTCATTAACAACAAATGTACAATAAAAATTGGCTATCGTTTTTTATCGCAGAACACGAGAACATATGCGACAAAAGGCTGTTTTTGAATACTATATCTGATATAAAAATTAAAATAACAGTAAACTTTTGTTCAATTATCTTAAAAAAGTATACTTTTGTCTGAAAAGATTTATACAAAATTTCAATACAAATGTTGATATATACGGCATAAAATTGCCAAGTTGAACAAGATGAGACATATTAATTATAACCGAATGTGCACACGAATGACAAATTTTACATCCTTACACATATTCTTATATTTAAAATTATATACACCAATTACGAATAGTTAGAAACATGTATCATAAAGAATACATGTAAAATCTTACATATCTTTTACTTTTATATATATATATAAGAATATAATAGATGAAATATAAGAATATAATATAATATACTTGTTATCGGCAAAGTCCGAAGGATCGACAATCCTCAGATTGCCTAGGCAAAGGCAAATCTTAGGATTGCTGATTTTTCAGGCTCTAACGGTAACATACTCATTGCTGCCTTAAGTTAAATAATATTAATGTCCTCCATACTGTATCAAATGTGTTAAATACATCTGGCTGTAATATCTCTTTAATATATTGTAAATATTCAAATATACTTTATGATTAATTCAAGACAATCGTCCTATTTGAATCGTCAATCAATCGTCCTATTTAAAAATAAAATCTTGTCAGCTCGTATATTTGAAACTTAAAATTAATAGAGTTCAATAAACCCGCATAATATTCTTTCTTTAATGCCAAATGTATGACTTACGCATAAAGATTACGTAATAATTATAGTAAAATAATCATAAACTTTATCTTATCGATTTTCTTCATTAATGTAATATTAACTGTATATATATATATAAAATTTTGTATATATATATATATGTATATATATACACATACAAAATAGTATATAATAGTATATATATATAATTTTGACGTAGTTTTAAAGATTTTTTTTAGCCGCTGAATATCCTAGGCAATTAAACAACACGATATTGTTTAGTTCGGTATGACTTTCTTGGGCGCGTGAATGCGACTGTGTCTCAACAGCGAGCTTTTGTCGGTGAAGGTCTTCTCGCACTCGACACACTTGTACGTTCTGCCAGTGTGTGTGACCAAATGCCTGCTCAAACCTGACGCGTGACAGAAGGCTTTCGGGCAGAGCTGGCAATGATGCAGCTGAATATCGTTCGGATTCAGCTTCTGGTGCCGACGCATGTGTACTTTAAGAGCCTCGCGTTGAGTGAAACTCTTCTCGCAGTGTTGACACTGGAACGGCTTCTGGCCGGAGTGAGTCATCAAGTGACGGAACAGGATCTCCTTTTGCGCGAAAGCGCGATGACAGATGTTGCACGGGAATGGTTTCTCGCCTGTAAACATCAAATATGCTATGTGAATTTAATGTTGCTTGTGCAACATTCATTTAAAGACGTGTTATTGTTCAGAAATTGTCCAGAAATATTTCTAGAGTTTTTCTATAAGAATAAAAGTGAAGAAAAAACTTTCCAAACAATTCAATAAGTTTTCTACAATTGCCACATTATTGCGAAATAATATTAACCTGTATGTGTACGTTCGTGTCTGATCAGAGCAGATCTTGTCGGGAACCATTTTTCGCAAGCCTGACATGTGAATCCTCTCTGTGTGGAGTGCACGGACTGATGACTCTTCAGCATTATTCTCCGAGTGAACGCTTTTGGACATTTGTCGCACTTGAACACCTTCAGCTCTGGATTCGCATCAACTGCAATGCATTTGCCTTTTGTAAAAGCAGTTCTAGTTGTATATTATTGTCACTAGGTATTCTCGTATCGTTCCTTACCCATCTGGTCGGCCATAGGCTGTAACTTCAACGATTCGCCCTGACTGGAGCTGTTGCTGGTAAGCTCCATCATGTAAACGTTCTTGTGCGTTGGCTCGGCGTTCGCAATCGCTCTCTGTACTTCGTCCGCCTCATCCTCGGACTCCTGCTCCTGCTTGATGCGCGTCGTCCTTATCGTACATCGTGCCTTGGCGGTCCGTTCCTCGGCTGGTACCAGTGTAATGTTTTCCGGATCCTCCGCAACATTCTCCTCCATCTCCGGATTCTCAGAATTCATTCCTACATATTGAATAATGACGATATACGATATTTACATATATAAATCAAATACCTGTAGACGTTTTTAAGTATCGTTTTGTTTTAGTAAGAAGAAACATACCCAGGATGTAGCCACCGACAAGCTCCTCCTCCGTCACTTCAATGGGATCACCATCTCCTTCGCCGCTATCACCTTTTGTCGCGACTAGATCAGCCAACAGTTGTTTAACTTGCTTAGATTTGCCAGCAGATTCCATAGAATCATCCCTATTGCTATCCTGGTTCTCGCCCTCTTCGTCCTGCCCAGTCAACTGCTGTATTAACTTCATGTGCTTTCTGAGCTTGGAATCTGCAGCCTGACATTTTTTTCTGAATTGGTAGGATTTCTCCAATTGATATTTACATGGATGACATATCATATTAGGAAGACCATCCTGCTCATAAATCTGAAAGATTAGTAAGTTCAAAGTTACGACTTCTAATTAAAATATGTTGCACAAAAAGCATAATTCATCTAATTATAGTACTATATCTACATTGATATTTTAATTTTAGCTTTCTACTCGTAGCAACACAGTGCACAATAAACATTTGTAATGCAAAGAAGCAGAGATAAATACGACAAAAATATAAATAAATCTAATAAAATGAGTGACAAAGAGAAATCATCTCAGCTAAAATTTATCAATACAAAATGTTAAGCACATTAATATTGAATAATTCTTAATGCATGTTTAATGTTCAGATTGGGATCCGTGAAATCTGTTTTCTATCATCAATCTATCGAGAAAACATCAATAATCAAGGAATCATGTTGCATCGAATGGTTCTCTAGAAAATTCATCCACGGAGCCGCGGTAGGACGCGTCCGCCTTCTGCGAATTGTTTGCAGTGTAAGGGACAAACACGCCGTTATATATCCGACGTAACATTGCAGATTTCTATAAATCCGTAGGGTAAACGATCGCAACGAGGGGACCTCGCCGTCTGCAGTCTAGGTTTCTGTAATGAGGCGGCGCGCGTAAAAGGCGTACCTATCGCAGCAAGCTCGTCGATAACTCGGTAAAGCCGGTAGTTGCTTTGCGCAGCAAATCGTATCACCGACATCTCCCGTTTCTCTTTCTCTCGCGCCCTCGCCAGTACGTATAGCCGCGTGACGTCACGCCGGTCGGTGTGTGCGTGCCATATTGAAGGACGCGCGCGGTGAGGAGGGAAGATAATGCAAGAGGACGCCGTGCGGCGCGCAGAGAGATAAACTAGATTCCTATTTTTCGATACGAGCCGCCCTCGGCTGATTATCGTTGCTTCGTGGAATCGAACGACGCAGGGGGCAAAAAAATTAAGAGGACCGATCGGCAACCCACCTCGATGTTCACGCAGGCAAGTATACGCAGCGGCAACGGCACGGATTCGTCGTCGTAGATCGGCACCATCTCCTCCTCCTTCGCCAAGCACAGTCGGCACAGCTCGTTTACGTGGATGATCACATTGCTCGGGCTGTCGCCCTTTTTCCTGCTGTACGTTTTCATCGCTGTCGTTTTTCCGGCCGTGGGAATCGTCTTTCTTTCGCTCGCTTGCTCCGCTCGTTAGCCCGCGTTTCCGACTAATCTGTTTAATTCGCTCTCCTCTTTTCTCCCTTTCTCTCTTTCTCCCCGCGTCTCTCCCTTTCGAATTTGCGGCAAGTGCACGACGGAGCGAAACGTCGAAAACGCAACGCGGAGTTTTCCGTGAGAAGTCGCAGTCGTCAGCGGGACCGAGACTCGGTCACTCACAACGGAATCTATAATGGCGGTCGACTGTCCGGCGGACGCGTCGTTCGGCGGCGCTGCCGACGTACTTGGCGGCACTGCGCAACAAAATAGCGGAAGTGGCGAGGGTGCGAGAGAGACGCCGCGATCGGCGGCACGCGAGCGCGAGGGAGAGAGCGCGAGAGTGGGATGGTGAGCGATCGAGCGTAGTGCGAAAGCGCGCGCGGCACGAGCGGTGGGGTGTGCGGCGTCCCGTTGCCGCGAAAGTCGGTAAGGGCGATTGCGATTATTGATTTCCCATTCTTCCCAACGGCGGGAAATGCGAGCCCTTGCCGACCACCCTACGACATTGGTCCCGGACGGGCGAGATTCCTGCCCGGTAAGCAGCCGTCGCTCCTCCTCTTCGCCGCGGCCTTTCGACGGGCCGGCGCGGTCGAAGGTTATGCGAACGCGATTGCAACTGCCGTATCGCGGAAAATGGAAAACAACACTCGTCGCGTCGTCCGCCGCATTTTTCCTCGTGTATCGACAGATCGGTGAGTGTTAATTCCGCCCTCGCGCCGAAAATAATCGCCGATACACGAATCTAATCTCTTCATTGTCAAACCGGTTCGAGAATTAATTTTTGCTTATTTTTTTAATTATTCAGTCCTTGCGTTGAAAAAGACACTGCTCGTAATTACGAATAAATACCGCGGATTGTCACCGGCGGTAGAAGTGTGATTAATCGATAAAATAAAAAGTATCTCGCTTAGCGCATTCTTCGACATTTTTTTATCTCTTCGACAAATTTTTCAAAATGGCACTTACAATTATCGTGCTGTGTATCGCTGCGTCAAATAATGAGTAATGAAATATCTCTCTCTGGCCGATCGGCAATTAGAATTTTATTTCTACAATCAAGATACGGTTTTTCATGTAAACAGTAAATTGTTTATTTTATCTGTGTGCAGGATAAGAGATCGCAAGTGCATGCTGAAGCACGATTAGTTGCACGGTCGCAGGCGCTGATCTCTTTCTCGGTAATGCAGAAATCAAAGCTTATGAACAATAACTTGCGATAGTGTCGCAGGTTGCTAACAATGGACACCGTGATTTCATTAGAGTATCCTTCCGTATAATTGGCTTTATCGCAGGGTAACACACAGATCGCGGCAGTCACGTTACGTCGTCAGGTGTGTCGCGACAAGGAATATCGAGAAGCGATACAGGAGCGATGATGGAGTTATGCTCCAACATCAATTGGCGTTTGAGTTATTTTGTACGTTACTGTCGAGAGCTGCTGCCGAGACTCTCAAGAGGAAACTATCGGATCGAAGCACCGCTTGCGAACATCTGTTGCGGAAGTGAAGCTTTCAGTGAAATATCTTCGGATGTTCAAACGAATATTTTGACGAGCAACGCAGGAAACGTTGACGACGACCTACGTTTTGCTTCCGCAGCTCTTGCTCAGATCTTTTTTAATATTCAGGCACTCAAAATTTTAAATATGATCAATTAAAATTGATATATTTATTTTAAATGCGCGACGTTGATAAATGAAATCTGCATCGGTTTTTTTTTTAGAAAATCTTCGTTATCAATGTATTTTTTACGTAAATCACAGTCGAAATCGTATGTAATTCTTAATTATATTGGCTTGCTCGGATTATTGACGATATTGCCAAGACAGAGATTTTCCATCTTCGCAGGAATATGAATAAACGCCGAGCTAACAATGTGCGGAAACGCGTCGCGTTTCGCCTCGAAGCAACTGGAAGTTGTCGAAACGCGGCGAAGTACGACGTCAAACCACTTCAGCCTGATTTATTTTCGTTTGCGTTAGCGAGATGGGTTACACAAAGCATACGATTTACCGGCTGCGGACGCTGGCGCGCCTTCAATTTTACGGCGCGGAATTCCACCTCGACGAGGTTGCGCTAGATATTCGGCGGATTCTCGGAGTTATCGAATGTGGATAGACAATCGTTTCGTTCCAATGTCGCACTGCGCAGGATAAAGGACGCACGTCATCGATTGACAATTATTGGCCTCTCGAGAAATAAATATGCCAATAGGACGAGTAAGGAGGGATGCGACAAGGAATTCAACAGATGAATAAAGAAAAGTTAGTATACTTATGCGATATTAAATATAAATTAAAGGGATTGTCAATATTAGATAATTCTGAGTAACAAAATATATCTTTTGAAGCTTTCAATTGCGTTTTCGAAATATTTACCACAAAAATTGGACAGTCGAAATCATGAAATTCGATGTAGATTAGTCACAGAATCTATTCTGCAGAAATTCCAAGAAAGTTTAACGCTTCGCAATTTACATGCGATTTTATGTCACGTCGGTCGAATGTTTCGAAACGGAGAAATTCAAGAGAAAGAAAATTATCTCCGTAATCTTCTGCTAAGAATAAATGTATTGAACATCACGTGTAATTGTGTGATTGGTGTTTCTCGTTCAGGCTCATGTGGATTGCGACGTGGCGCGATGAGGCTTTCGGAAGTGAAGTGCGGGAAAACGGAGTCGAGACTTTCCCGCGATTGCCAGGAAATCCGCTGAATGCCGCGGGCAGTTAAGGGGGGAGAGAGAGAGAGAGAGAGAGCGAGAAAGAAAAAGACAGAGAGAGCATCTCGGAGATCAAAAATAACTGTTACGGGGAAAGAGGGAATAGAACAAATTCGGCGGTTCCGGGAAGGAGGGGGGCCTGATGATGACTGTCTTCTGGTCTCCGGTGCTTTCGCTTTTCCGAGAGTCCAGTGTGTTTCGCCACCCCCAAGGAATCCGCATGCTCCACGTATATCAGCGCGAAGGTAGGTGTCACGTTCTCATTGCACCACTTACTTGTCACCGTCATTTGTTGTATTTCGCGGCGGGCGTCCAAGGAAATGAAGGAAAGGAGAAAAAAAAAGGCAAGTGGAGATATCGAAAGCGTGAGAAACCGACAGCACAGGTGGTTAAGGGAGAGTGTGGAAAATTTGGATGAAATATCGAGAATAGGAAGAAACATAAAACATAGAGAAAAGCAAAAGCAAGTCGAATGGCGCGGAAATTTGAAGATGTGACAAATCGAGGAATGGAAAGCAAAAGTAGAAGAAACACAAAAAAATATTTCATATATTTTATTGAAACAAATTGTAAGACATGTGAATAATTTTGGCAGAAAATTTAATAGTGATAGAATTATTATATTATTCCTTTTCTGAACATTCTTCTTTAGATATCGGTCAATCACACAATCTTCCTATTGTAATAAGCTGTTTAATTGGCAAAGCAGATGTTATATCCAATTGCATCTTGGCATTTAGCCGTCTAATTGTCAAAGGATTCTAGGCCAAGCCGGCATAATTAAGCGTAATTAGGCAGAAATTATCAATGCTATTAATAATTTTTCACACCTTCATCATTCAGAATGATTTGCGATACATATTCTTAAAACCTTGATCAAAATATCCGCTCGATCATTTTGATTTGTGCGATTTTATTCTTATTACAATTAAATATTACTAATATCAGAAATAAAATTCATAAAAAAGATGCATATAATAATTTTATCACGATTGAATCTTTGCATACAATCATTTACTTACGTTACAATAATTTGTTTTAATTAAATATATAAAATTTCTTTTTGTTTCTTCGATTTGTCACTCTTCAATTCATAATTTTTTTAGTTTTTTTATTAAAAAAAAATAAATCTGAATTCTTAATTAATTCTTGGAATTTTTTGGGAATTCTTCGATAAATCAATTTTAAGCTGTTATCCGCCTTTAAATATAGACAAGATAAATCGAAGAATTAAATTCTACATTGTTTTACATATAATTACATATGTATTTTATCTATTCGCGATATCTGAATTACGTAAAACACAATCTTAAGTAGAATGTAAAGTACATCGATCGCATACGTCGCGAAAAAGCCGCGGTCACTTTCAGTTTAAGTTAGAAACGGCGAGACGGTTAAAGACAGTTGAGTCATGTATTGCCTAAAAGCAGAATTGTTCCGCCAAAAGCGAGACGTTTCGTCATCTCGGGAATATCCTGTGACTCGTAGATGAGGTGTTGATTGAAATTTGCATGACAACGCTTCCTGGGCGCGCCGACCTGTCTATTCGTATTGCTTCAAGTGCCGCGGATGAACTCATCACAACAATTCGGACCGCCAAAACTTGTATGCAATGCTGCGTCGTATCATTCGAACAATCGGCCAAAAATAGTCGACATGTCGTGCGTCACGGCGGTAAACAACGCAAGGCGGAAAAATCATTACCCTCCCCTCGGTCGCGTCATGCGAAATATTGTCGCGATCGTGCATGTATCAAGAGCGTTGCGAAACGTTAATATAGATATATCATAAAATTTAATTTTGTATTTTTCCAACGAGTGATTTATTCAACTTCAGTCTCAGAATTGAAAACTTCAACCAAGTTGGAGAACTTGATGTTGAAAAAAGTTTTAAAAATGCTAGAAATAAAATCTGTGATTATTACTCTGCAATCTTATTATTTATTAATTAAAAAAAATTTAATATTTAATAATTTTGTAACTATTAATTTTGCATCACCGAAAAGTCGTCGCAAATTGTCGCACTTATTTACTTTGTGAATTACATCGATGCTTACTTCGTCTAAAATTCAAGACGATTAAAACTTTTTAAGGAATCGATCACCTCGCGCAATCCGGCGCGAAGAAAAATCGAGATTTCGATGAGACTGCGAGGTCGAGTGTCGTCGTCCAAATGCCGGCGTAGCTTGGAATAGACGCGAGTTATGTAAAGGAAACCGGGGTCCCGTGGATTCCGCGAAGACGCGAAAGCAGTTGTCGCTGTGCATTTTCGGCTAATTGTCGACCGAATTTTCGAACGAACTTTGGCTCCGCTCCGAATAATCGGGTATGCGCGGTCGAGTTCGACCGACAACCCTCACGCGTTGCCGCACTTTACTGACTTTGAATCGGAAATAAACGAGGTTAATTCAAACAGCGGAATCCATTCTTATCAATCGCGTGAGCGATTTTAGATTTGCGTTCCAATTTTCGTCTTACAATTATAGTTTGAATCTCATCTCGAATGGCTCTAAAGCAGCAGACACATTGCGAAGTGCAAATCCATGAAAATTCTATTAAACAAGAATCGCGTGATATTATTAAACCGACGCACATTTCGCCATTGATGTCGGCCGATTTTTTATCGCAACGCGCGCGCTTCAATGTAATTCAATACGACCCGGAGAAGTCGCGCGCGCTCCAAAGAGTAGCGACCGGTAGGAGGAGGGAGAAGTAGAGATTTTGCGGACGATGTAGATATATTCGGAGGAATTTCTAGGCAAAAATAACCGCGGTAGGCCACCGGTGCCCAGCAGGGACGCGTCAGCGAGAATCCAAGATTTCCGACAGTCCGCGCTTCGCGCTTCTCTCCAGAAATCAATTAAGCGAATGTTAGAAGGCGTGAATCGAGAAGAGGCGCTTATAATTGGCCAGTTTTTACTCATCTTTTCATTAAAAATATGTCTCTTAAAATATATATATCCTTCTTAATATATTTTTTTATGACGACAAAACGATGGCGAGCAAGCGTTTTCCGAATTTTTTCTAAGCAGAGTAAATGTGTATTAATTACGCAGGAGATATTTGGAGAAGGAAACGCGAGAACAGCGGCTTTCGTGTTTATAAGCAGAGATATAAATATACTTGGTGTTATGAATAAAATACGAGACATGTGCGAGATCGCAAGGAAAATGCGTCGAAATACATAGACCGTTGCAGTTCCGCGAGGCGATTCGATAATCGCGTATCGATTTTATTCTTCCCGCTGGAAGGATCCGCAGGAGGTATTTTGAGTATCGAGCAGGCAGGCGCGTATGTATAGTTTTGTGTAAAAAAAGCATCGACAACCTCGATAAATTTGAATTTGCGGAACCTTGAAAGAAGGTTTTTGCGCATCGCGTTGATCTTCTCATGTTCGATCTAAATATGTTTCCGAACGCTTTTTCGTATCTGCGAGAAATCGCCACTTCCAACGAATCACAACGTTTCGGATCTCCGTTTTCCCGGCTTTCGAAATAGAAGACGCGCGCTCGCGGCATTAAATCTCTCACCGGCGCGCGAAGAGGGATGCAAAGTGCTTCAAGAGGCGACAAGGGGATGATAAAGATGCCGTTGCGCGACTCGCTGCGTGGGCCGGCGTATTTTTCGCGATCTCTTAACACGTTGCGATAAACGGAAAATGCTATTTCGATCAGCGTGTCAGTGAACTTGCGATCGTTTTGTCGCGAGCGAAGCGTAGACTTTCGGAGCTGACGCTTCTGTCCGCCCTTCCTTCGCTTTTTGTTGACTCTTTGTTGATTGTTCTTAATTGCGAATGTCTACGCGCGCCCGTAGCTACGCACGCCCGTAGCTTCGTTCGCGCGTTGCCGAATCGCGAGGGATGGAACGAAAGTTGCTCGACTTCGCACTCTAATATTTGCGTCCCTGTGCGACTTTCTTGGCACGAGTCTGGGAAGCTATAGAATCTCTCGCGACGCGATTTCGCACTCTCGCCGGATCGAGTGAGCAAACATTCTCGAACGATCGTTGAACGATTTTCGGGACGATAACTATTGACCCACTTGCCGAAATTGCGCTCACTCTTGCACGATTTGCGATCGACTTGGAACGTGATGATTCACTCATCAGAGCGAGACGCATCGTTCATCATGTCACGTGAATTCATTGACGTCACATGATAGATTAATGATCATGATTTTTCACGGCGATCAATTAAATAAGTTTGATTGCGCCAGTATCTTGGCCGGGTATTTGCTTTAATTAAGAAATTTTACAGACGAATAGACGGTTTTTTGATATATTTACAAATCATTATTAATACCGAATATTTCAATGTCAAAGTATTCTGATAATCTTTCCTTCGAAGAAGATAAAATAGTCAATTAAAAGGTAAAAATAACATTAAATTTTTTACAAGGTAAAATAATATGAGTAGAAAATTACATTGTTTTACATTTTGTATTTCATTACATTTAAGAGAAAAATTTTTGAAGCTTAATTACTTTGAACTGCAGCATCTTCTTCGCATATCGAGATGCAAAATGTGCCAGCGCAGACGAACGTCATTCTGAAATATCACGCAGCTGTTTGTTGCCTAATACGAAAAATTATCTTTATTATTTATTGCCGCGCTCAGTTTTCATTTGCGCGTAATCGTTATTTGTAAAACAGATATTTATGCCGTAAGATTCTACAGACGCGCGGAGCGAGAGTAGTGGCTCTTGGCAGGATTCGCGCGCAAATAGCGCGACGACGGTAGATAAATAACGCGCGTAATATTCCGCGGCACGCTCAAGAAAATAATGTTTTATCGTAATCAACGTCATCTCCCCCGTTCGAACTTGGAACGAGCGGGAAAATGCGCCGTTTTAAACAGTAGAATGATTCCCTTCGGCAGATTATTCGCAATTGCACATTAACGTTCGTCCGAAGCGCCGTTCAGGTGGTTCTCTCTCTAATAAAAATACTTTTCGTTACAGCGATCGACAAGTAGATCAATCAAGGCGCCAACATGGCCACTGAGAAAGCGAGACTCGTGAACAAGCAGTTCAACTCTCCCATTAATTTATACTCGCCGCAAGCGATACAGGAGACTTTAGACAGGCAAACTCAAGTCCTGGCGAACGGTGCAGTCGGGTGAGTCGTGCGAAATATTATTTCTCGCATCATTTCCATTTAATCACATACCGTTCACTCTTTTATATCCTTCATAATTTAATTTCAATTTTAACCCTTAGTCCCGACGGTTCTTTTCGGCACCTTTAATCCCGACTCATGGGTCTTTTGCGTCTTTGCGTTATTTGGATCAGTAAAAACACTTTAAAAAATCTGAAAAAATTCATGGAGCTTCTTTCAACCTTCAACTTAAAGTCCCAATTATAATATTTCGATAAAAATTATTTTTTTATATAGTTTGTTATTAAGAAATGGAGGTACCTTACAGCACTTTGAAATTTCGCTTGGGTCGAAAACGACCCATGAGTCGGGACTAAGGGTTAATTTCCTGCAAGAATCAAACGCTATCATCTCTTCCGAGGCGGATCGTTGCGCCGTCCTGTTCACCTTGATAATGGCTTTGATCCAATTCGAAGGAGCGACCCCGGATGACGATCCCGATACACCCTGCGGATCTCCGCCGATTGACACCGATGACTCACGAGCGTTTTGCCGGCGGCATGAGCCCGAGCTATCCGGGGCGACCACCTTGTGTCAATCATCGGCGTCGGCCCCCTTCGTCCGCGTGTCACGCGATCGTCCAGATCGGTGGAACGCCGACGCGCCGGGGTCGCGCGACGACGCCGCGCGCGTGAATCACGCCGGGCCGACGATTCCGTTCGCGACGTCCGCTATTTTCGGAGGTTCGAATCACCGGCCGGTTGGAAATAAACGACGGGAGGCCGGATTCTCGCGCCCGCCGCCCTGCGCAAAGCCGACGGCCGCGCCGCGTCTCTTCGTACTTGACTTAGTTTCGCGTTCGATGAGCCGCGGGTGCGCGCCGGTCTCGTCGTCGTAGTCCTCTGTCCTCGCGTTTTCGGGATTTCCTTCTGTCAAAATGATCGCTACAAAGAGGTGATGATCATGATATTTTGTAAATGTTCATTTGTTTCTCCTTTTCGCAAGCTGGCGATCCTATTCGCTATTTGCGATCTTACATTTTCCAGTTGTTCGCAAGTGAGGAATCTCCGCATTTTATTCAACGTTCTTGGTTTTCAATTATTTACGTTTCTTGCAGCATTTGCTTTTCCGAAAATAAAAGGAGAATCGGATTTCGCTCCATTTTATTTATATAATCAAACATTTCTGTTTGAAATTGTTAAAAAGCCGGGCTTGAATGTGCAACTTCCTTTTCCAGAATCGACTTCAATCAGTTGGCCAAGCCAACGAATCTGCAGAATAGCGCGGTTCTGCGTATGCTCGAGGAAGAAGAGGCGAGGCAACGCGGTGGTCATCCCAGTGAGTGAAAAACATTTTTTTTTAAACTTACGCGTAAGATAAGAAATAATAGAAGATCAAAATGGTTGGAAAGTCGCAACGCCTTTTTTTTAAAGGAATTTTGATGAATTAACGTGTGGTATAAATTTAAAGTTCGTTTGTTCCGACAAGTTCAACTATGATTTACGAACGCTAAAGTTTATCGCTGCGTCGCGTAACAGTGCGATGACTCACAGGTGCAAATATCGCGAGCATCGATCACCGGTGTGCGGCGGCATCGGTTTCCCAAATTGATACCCGTATCGCTGGCAACGCGTTTTCAATTTAGCATGACACAGTCGTTACTCTTGTTATACCGCTTTGGCACGCGGCTCAAAGACGCAACTCCGCCGGATTAGTAACACATTTTCGCAAAAATACACCAGCCTCTCAGTCTGCGAACACAGAGCGTTGTGCTCGGAAGAGAGAGAAGCCTCTTTGTGGTTGCACCATTAATTCCTCGGTAGAATTAAATTAGAAGTGCGGAGAAATTTATTATCGCGATTCCGAGGGCTTGATAAATTTGCAAGGGACGAAGTCCTTTAATTTCATTACAATTAACGTAAAAAAAAAAAATGTTAAAAGGAACTAATTTTTCAGGGACAAAATAAAATGAAATATTTTGTAGCGAATAAATGTTCTACTTTTTAAATTGATAATTTAATTCAAAAAGGCCCTTTTGTTCGTGCAATTCGCAAAATATCCCGCGCGCAAAAATAAATCCGGATCATTTCGCTTCGTTGCAAGATGCGTTCAGACGCGCTCGTAGATATCTCGGAGATTTTTCGCGACGTGGCCCTCTTCAAGGGCGCGGCCCCTCCCTGATTGGGCACAATGTCAAGCCCCACTCTTTGGCCGGTCACCAGAAAAGCTCTAAAATCGGTGGCCAGCTAGTTCTCACGATAATGAGAGATACAGATGATGCCGCCATAGCGTTAGTAGTTGGCGGGTGTCCGTTTTGGCAGAGTCGCGTTTCCCTGCGCCGTGGCCTGAGCGGCGAAGCTTCGTGGAGAATCGCATCGGTGAGCGCGTAAAAACCAGGTGCTTATCAGCCGCCCGGAAAATATGCGCTTTGCGCGATTAATGACGCGCGACTCCGTGCCGCGATATTCCGTCATTCGCCATTCGACACGCTCGCGCCCGATCGACGCATGGGAGCTGCGCGATTGCGTTAGGATTGTGCGTCATTATTAGCAATATTCTAGAATGATTAATCGCGTAACGACGACTATCGTGTGGTGCGATGGAAGTTGCGTCGAGTGTCATCGACTTCCGTCGATGACAGCGTTTGACAGTGACGTGCAATGATTTTGAGAATAATATCGCGTTTGAATGGATACACAAATCGACCAAGTTTCGTCTAAGATCAGATTCTTGAATATATCGTCGCGCAGATCTCAAATCTGATAAAAATCGCATTGTCTCGACGGGCTCTTCTACAAATTTTCTTTTCTTTTAGATTTCAAACGAGTAGCTTGGCCACCGCCGCCAGAGGATCAGGACTTCGACAGCTACGTGGAGCAAGGTCCCGTCCAAGCGAAGGTGAGCGAATGAATAATTAGATGTGTGCACACTTCGTCGCGTCTCTCGTCATCCCATTATTACAATTGATAAAAAAAACAAAAAAAAACAAAAGGCAGCGACTAACAAGATAGATTCTTGAATTCTCTGCTCTTTTTTTGCACCTTGCAGTATAAAATATTAATAAATAGAGTAAATGAGAAAAATTATATTAGCATGTCGCAAAAATATGCGAGGAATCATCTGTCGCAACGTTCGCTGTCTTTCTTCTTGGCGTGACAGCACTCATCATTTCACACAGACATATTTCGAGCAGACGAATTATCGCGATAATTCCGATCATACATCCGGAAGGACACACTTTTTCCATTGCGGCGACGTACACTTTTGAATGTCCACGTGTTGTACATGCATCTTTTTGTTACATTATTATTTATCTCCAAGTTAGTGCGATATAGCTCTCCTCCTGCATCTTGCCATGCGTGTAGAGTGAGTGCACCGATGCTCGTTACGTGTTTCTTTTATGTATTACTGTTCACGTTCGTTCTGTGTATGCGTAACTCTGTTTTACTCGAAGTTAACGAGTCGCCGTGGCCAGGTCGGCCCTCGATCAATTTTCGTTGCAATCAAGGCGCCTTAATCGCGGCTCGTTGCCGGCGAGCGGGCGAGGGGGTGTTCGCAGCGAGCGTCAGTTAGAAAAATCGGACGACATCTGCAGCGGAGGATTTAACATATACATTTCACAGATCTCCAACACGTTTCCGCGAACACGTCGCCCCGCAGATTCTCTCTCCCTCTCTCCTTTCCTCTCCTTCTCTCTCCTCTCCGCGAAGGGACGACAGACTAAATCCGCGCCCTACAAAATGATCTGTTTTCCTCCGACAAGACCCGTGGGCTCGGTGACGTCGGCTCGTACCAGAGCAGTCCCTCGCCAGGTCCGTCGCCCCAACCGCCCGTCGCGCGGTCGTCGACGCGGAGCGCCGTCCCGTCGTCCCCGTCGCCCGTGAGCCCCGGCGGCACGCTTCTGCGACAACCCTCGCACTTCCAGCAGCAACAGACGTCCCCGAGGAACTGGGTGCCGGTGACACCCCCGGCGACCTCGCCGCTCCCGCAGCAGCATCCTTTATCGCCGAGCCAGCCGCAGCCGCAGATCGGGTCTCGGCAGGTAAGTGATGTGGCTCGCACGGAACGTGGTCCTCCGCAATTTCGGAAGAGGTGACTCTCGGTAAGAAACGCTTTGTGTATGAAACGCGTCGTCGTCGTCGTTTTGTGAATTATTGCTAGTTGTGCACGATTTCGACGTCGGATTCGGCGTGTCGTAAGCTGTTTTTTTTTTGAGCGAAATCTCGCGAGAAACCAGGTTGTAGATGATTTTGCGTGGGTGCGGCGGATTAGCGTCGCGAATCTCATTGGCATCCTTCCTGCGTTTCAGCAGCACCCCCAGGATCCGTACGACCGGGCACCGCAGCAGAATCAATCGTCCCCTGCGGCGTTCGAGGCACCGCCCTCCACTATCATCCTTCGTCCTGAGCCCCCCATCTCGCAGGTGAGAATTTAGAAGCGTTTCGAGGATTCGAAGGTTCGCTGAGCGAATATTCTCGCAAACGCGTTGTAATCGCTCAATAGAAATTCTGCCCACGCTATTTATAGCGATATTATTACTGCACGGAAATTTATAGAAATACACTTTGTGCAAGAAGCAATTTCGAATTTTTGGAGCACGCTTATGAAAAATTCGACAAACGAATATTTGATTTACGTGTTAATCAAATTATGCTTTGTCTGACCAAAAAAAAAAAAAAAAAATAGAGACTTGTTTGAAAAATTCGAAATTATTTATTACACAATATTTACTACACGCTCTACTATGTGATTCGTATTATGTGCTTTCGACGAGCTATTTATACATTTTGCGTAAAGCGCGGAATAATGTAATGCAAACTATTAATTTGTCAGGTGTTGCTTTACGAGGAAATTTATCATCGGCAGCGGGGGTGTTTAATAACGTGTTTACGTTCGATATTATATTACATCTTGTACGCGAATTCAATGCTGCTAAAAATAACGCAGCAATGTTACACACGCCTACAAACGTCGCATGAGAAAACGCGAAGAAGAGGAGCACAGCGCGTGCACACACGCACTGTCAGATTCTGATGATACGATACAATACTTCTGCGGAAGCGTTTGCACGCGCTAGCGTGCCTTTGGCAGCACATCAGCCGTTAAATATACATACGATGTCCTCCGGCGGCATCGATTACAGCGCTTATTCCGAAATTTATTTCTAAGAATAGAGCGTAGAGCCGTTTCTAAATCGACTCGACTTCAAAAGAATAATGTTTCTCGCGTCGCTGAGCAATGTCGCTTTTTTCTCAGATATTTCCGCGATTTCCGACACATGCCAGATCCTTCGCAGACTTTTAAACTAAACCTCCTTCGAACGCGTTATCAACACCTTCGCTGCCAATCGCGGGCTTTTCTCGCGTTGCGATAAAACAGCTAAATTCTTGTAATTGTGATTGATCGCTTCCCTTCAGAGTTACAATTTTTTTTATATATTTAACTTCTCGCTCAATTCTTGATCTCTAATTTACATTCATCTTATTCTATCTCGTTGTTTTCCATCCGCCGCCTCTAATTTCCTTTCTCTACAGCGAAACTAGTGATCTGTATTTCGATGGATTTTACACGATTTGTGTGATTAATGTTCTGTCCGCGTCATCAAGTTTCAATCTCGACAGGCACCAGCGCCGGTGTATCAGGCCCAACCTGCGGCAACCAAGGCTCCGGCGACAGGCAACATGCGAGGGGACCTGAAGTGGCCGCCGCCGACCGTGAAGGCCCAGGTCGAGGCGGAGAACCGCGCCAGGGTGGAGCTCGCGAGGGGTCCCGTCTTCAGGCCGCGCCGAGTGCACAAGGACTATAGCGGCTTCTTCGCGCAGCACGCCCTCAACAGCAGCTACCCGGGCTATCGGGCGCCACCGGGCACTCAGTACTTCACCCCGGCTTACCAGCATTAGCGAACGCTCCGTGTCGAGCGGCACGCACCGAAGCGCCGTCCTGAGTTTCTCGTCGCGCGCGACCGGATTATCGCCGTTCGCGAACGCCTTCGAAGTCGCCGAGACGCTCAGGACGCTGTTCGCGGACTGTCCGAGATCCGCGAAGAAACCGGAGAAGCGCGCGAAAAGAACGTAGAAAAATGTTAGCACTGTAAAACGAATAAATTTGCGTCGCAAAATCTCGTCTCACGATGTGATATTTTTTTTTTTTATCTTGGGCCGCGAGTCTGCGTGCGATTTTTCAAGTCGTGCTGTCGCTTTTTTTTCCAGAACGCGGTCCAAACGCGAAGGGAAGGAGTGTTATTTCCGCAAAACGTTTCACGAGCTTCTCCGGTTTCTAAACAGACTTCCAATTTGGATATCAAGAAACCTGTGTATACAGAGACTGAACGGTTGCCTTTCATCTTTGCAGGATAGCGTAAATCAATAACGATTGCCAGAAGTCCAGTTTATTTGACGGCATTCGGTTTGTTATTTGGGAATCATCGTTCAAAAGTTCTCAATCTTACGATCGCGTTTTCTTTTCGTAATTTGCAAATTAAGGAAATGAATCTTCAAATATATTAATACTTTTAATAAAATTTTGAGTTCCATGTCCACCTTCTTTCTCCGGTAAGTCTTGCTTAGACGAACGCGTTCACAAGCTTGGGAAATTCTGATTTAGATAAATTCAATGTTGTGATAGAATTAACACATTGCGAACACAATTGCAGATTTACAAAACTAACGCTTGCCATACAAAATCATGAGAGTGGCGGATCAGAGACAAGTTTCGAGTGATACTGGCAAAATTTGTATTTTTATTGCGAAGACAACGTCGACACGGAGAGATAACGAACGTCGAATAGACGCAAATCCGCGAAATAAACGATCGAGTCGAATAAAGAGAAAAAAAAATGTATACGGGGAGAAGATTACTGAAGGATCATCCGAAACACGACGCATTTTGTCGCGCGATTCGGTCTGCCCGTCAACTAACCGAGACGAATCATTTTTAATAATGTAATATATCGATGTGAATAAATAAATATCTTTATCACAAATCTCTCTTGCAGAATCAATTTGGACGTGTTACACACTATATCTCGTGAAATTTGTAATGAATTTTACGAGCGAGTAGATAATAATAATCTTTATTTTGTCATTTGCTTTAATACAAGGCGTATCTATAAGTGTTTAACAATTTATAAAATACTCCACACGTCTACCAAATTCCAATACAAAAGAATACAGCTCGATGCGTTATGTCATTCGAGAGTCATCTAAATCACGCCTATCAAAACATACATCGCAAAATAATGAACCCTAAAATATTTTGATTATTATAAAGTAAATGCCTTTTGGCGGTGTACTCACGCGTCATACAGTACACAACGTGAGCGACATCGCTCTGATTTATTTTAAATATTCACGTTCACGGCAAGTTTTTGAAAATACACTCTCAAATTAATAATTGTGCTTGCTTGAAGATTGAATAGAATTCTCGAGATTATAAAAATTGTCTAATGGTTTTTCGTTAAACTGCTAAACAACTTTCCCTGAGTATCGGCCCTTCGCGATTCAAATACATCCGAGCGTTACAATCTTGCATTCCTCTCCTCCCCTCCCCCTCCTCCCCCTTAATGATCAAGTGTAGTACGCATTTTGCACACGCATTCCTGCATAACAAATTCTGTAATTCCTTTACATACTACGATGAAGATTAAAAAATCTTTTTGTCAAATTTTCTTTTAACATTTGGTATGTCGGGAAACAATATGAAGGATGTGAAATGTGTTTCTTATGAGATATCGCCAGGTCCTTATTTGTGTGTAGAAAACTTCAATTGATAGTTTAATTTTATTCTTCAGACTTTATTTTCCATTAATGCGAATTATTATCATAAAAAAAGGTTTTTTTTCTGATTTCAATCCTGTATATTTTTTTTTGTATTTCTCCGGATACATCACACTGTGTCACTGACTGTCGGGCGTTTGTAATGAGGCGATAATGTTATTTCTTTTCAATCACTTGTGACTAGAGATAATAAAAAGATCAAAGCAACAGATTCACGCGCGGACGAATTGTATGCAACGTTGATGCGGTTGTGTAAGAAACTCGCTATTTTTCTGTGAATATTCCATCCTCCAATTTATGTAATAACGCAAATAGGGCAAATATTTAACAATTGTATAATTGCAAGTCATGAAAAAGGCTGTAATTATCACTCACTCTTACACGAGCGAAAATCCTAGATTTTGTTGGATAGCTTGTAATAACTTGTATTTTAATCTTTCGCGCGTTTGATAACGCGGCAGATCGAGCAGGTTAAAGCACGTGTGCGCGGCTGGCAAAAACCGGTCATCAGTCATCGGCTGTATCGTGATCTGCAATAAAAATTGGCGTCAAATTAATTCGTTTTACCAAGCTATCTCTTTCAGCTGTAATTTTTCTATTTTGTGTTTCAGTTCTTGATTTACATTGAATTCTATTGTATTTTACAGCTTTTAACTCCGAGTCAACATGTTGCTCTCACCTTGATAGCCTTCATACCCTGTATAGGTATTCTGTCACTACCCGTTAAGAAAAGTAAAAATTTCTTCTTCTCTTCTAGCGGTAGTTCATGAAAAACTTGCCAGAAGAACACGATAGTGGGATCGTCCTTGGAATAACCGTCTTTATAAGTGGCATTTTTTTCTAATTCCTCCCAATCGTAATTTTCATTGCCGACCAACAGCGCCATCAATTCGTGGCTGTGGAACAGCTCCAACACCCTTCCGCCGCATACTTTGTGAAAACCCTTGTTGAACATTTGGAAATGTGTTTCCACCGATTTGTTCAATATGTAGTCCACGTAGAAGTCTACGTATTGTTGCCTGCGGACGAAAATGTTTTATTACTTTCTTTCGCTTATTCTCACGGTGCGCACGCATGATGCTCACATACTTATTTTTCAATGTTACAGGAACTTTGCTACCGTCCGGAAAGAATTCGAAACGTTTTTGTTCGCCAAACACATCTCTAGTTATCTCAAAATTCAAGCAGAATACTTCCTCAAAATCTGGTTCTTGATAGTCGAGAATGCTGTGAAGACTTCTGCAATTACGAACGCTTATTAGTGTCTCGCGCAATTCATCGATCGACGAAATCGTTTGCAATTTTCAGGACATTGATCCTGGAACATTGTGAAGGACGACGTACTTGGCTATTATCGGTGACAACTGCTTGATATCATTCAATCCGACCGGTTCTCGCAACAGTTTTTTGTATAAGGCCAATGGAAACGGTAAATCGATGATTATGAAATTGTAAATAGCCAAGCCGCAGAGGAGGCCGATTAGAAAATACATAACTCCATCCTCCAACGAGTCCGAGCTGAACCAGATTGTCCTTGTCTCCTCGTATTCTTTAAACATACCGTACTTAGGATCGAGGATCTCTCGCAGCAGAAGCATGAAGAATTCCTTTTTCACGCCGCCCACATCTTCGGCCTCCTCCTCGTTAAATTTAACCTGCAAAAATTCGAACATGTTTTGCAATGTGTGCGTAACATTTCTCAGAATCGCTAGATCAAGTCTAAAATTTTGTTCTCCTTTTTAACATTTCATTCTTCATGCTAGCAAAAGTCATGGCGATAAATTTGAACCATCGATTAAAGTTAGCGACGCTGGAAATAGTTATCATTAATATTTCGGAAATTTATATTCTGGATTGAAAGTGCGACACTTACTCTAAGCGGTTTCTTCAGCTCGCTGGAATCGTACTGCTGCAATTGCGTCAGAGCGTCGGAGACTAAATTATTCCGCGACACGTTCAAAATTACAAATTGTCTGTACTGCTGGATGTTTGAATTGGTCGTGCCGAACATTATGTCCCTAACGACCCGTGTTGCCGCTTCGTGCATCGCGGATTGCATCTGTAACGTAAACGCAACATATTACAAAATGCATATACAATCTTTTTCAAAGAAGCAAATTCCGTCTTTCGCACCTGTATAGCTTGATCGGTTTCCAGTAACGTGGTTTTCGCCTCGGCGTCGAATAGAAAAGGGTAATTGCAAAAATATATTTTATGGTACTGAAAAAATTGCGAAGATCACTATAGTGTTACGCGCATCGCTGAACTGAGGCTAAAGGTTTATACAGCTACTTACGGTAAACTGATCATCCGACATCCACTTGAGATAATCGCGGTTGACATCAATATACTGCGACAACTCCGACAGGTGAAAAGTCTCATACGGCAGTCGCATACCCGCCGAGACATTTAGTTTATACAATAATCGCAATAGATTTAGAGCAGATTGTAGACTTTCATTCCACGTGACAACCTGCAAAACACGTTTCCCGAAGTACTATACGTAGAAAACTTTTGAGGACGCGCCAAACTTTCATCAGCCGCGCATAAATTACCTTGTCCGCTGTCGATTGCTTTACGAAGTGCAGCACCACAGACTTGTAAATCCTGACCAGTCTTTCAAAGTAATATTCCGGAGCTGCGCTCCACCATATACCTACAACCTTAGAAGCCTCCGCCTTTAAGCGCAGTAGGGCCTTGCAGAAAGGCGTCTGCAGAGAACTGTAGTGCGACAGATTCGCAAAACGGTGATAGAGTGGCAACGTTAAGTACACTCTCAAGGATTCCACGTCTGGCGGAGATATGGCAAAAGACGGTATCAAACTGTCAGTGATACACGTATAAATCTGAAAATACGAACACGTAAACGAAACGTTGTTAAATCGTCAATCGAGATCTTGTGCGCACTGATCCGTACACCACACGTACCAGTTCTTGAATCGTGTTGTTTTCCAATTCCGAGATCATCCCGAACAATTTAATCGCATCGTCGATATCAACACCGTGATGCTTACTCGAGCAGCCGTAATGAGCATCATTGGCGAGTAAGAAAGAACCATTTATAGATGCTTGACTTTTGAATACAGTTTCTAGATATCTGAATACATGAAACAAAACGGATTGTAATCTGTGATATAACTGAAGCCGCGATACAAATCTATTAAATCAGAGTTGCCTAATGTGCGATGATCACGCGAATAAGAGAAATAAGCGAAAAATTCTTCGCCCGCTCCTATAATTAATTTTATCACCCAACATTCCCTGAATCAAAAGGCAGTAATTTTCACTCACGTCATTAAGTCATGATTAACTTGCGAGCCTGATGAAACTTTTTGACAATCGACTATTTTCTCTTCTGTCACTGTAAGAATTTTGGAGGTTGATCCTAATATTCTACAGTCATCTGGCTCTATATTATCCTATAAATATTTAAGCAGACATAATCTTTCGTATATTACCACACAGAAACGATGCAAGATTAATTTGTTCCGCCACTTTTTTTTTGTAAACAAAAAGGGTCGACTAATTCTTAAAAATTGAAATTAATGAAAAGGCGTAAACGTATACAAAAAAATAAAAAAACACACTTTTTTCGGGCCGATGGTGGCAAAACAATGATCGCCGCCGCTGAAAATATGTCTAACGACACAATCAATCTGGGAAGTGTAGTACAAGTCGAGCAGCATCGATGATCCGCTCGGCGAGGACCACGGTCCAAGTACAACTTGCGGCGTTGTGGCACTTCGCGCGGCGCGATTACCGAGTTGCCCAGCACCCCCGAGACCCCACGCGTAAACTTTACCTCGTGACGGCACTAAAGCCAACGTGTGCCTCTTACCACAGGCAATCTGTACAAAATGCAATACATTAATATCAACATGTGTATATGAATTGAGAAGTTGAGAAATACATTCGAAAATATAATCCATGTATTTTAGTCAATGAATTAATATTTTGCTTCCGCAAACGATTTGTGAGCGACAACTTACTTGTGTTACTGTACTGCCCATCAACTCCATGACTTGTCGCGGCAAAATTTCATTCGTATTGTTCCCGTGTCCTAATTGGCCGTACATTCCAGCGCCGCATGTGAACACTCCACCATCCTGCAACAGCCACAAGCATGGTTTATCGCGCATTGTTTTTTCAGAGTATAAGAGAATGTATAATAAAGCTTACCAGTGTCAGAAAAGCAGAGAATTCTTCTCCGCAGGTTGCGTAGCATACTTTAGCATTTCGTAAAGTACGCAATTGGCAAGGCAAGTTTCTTTGTTGCGTATCATTTAGTCCTAATTGTCCGAAGGTGTTTCGTCCCCATGAAAATACTGCTCCTGTTTGGAAAAGGTGATGAAAACAAAGGCTGCACTCGCACAGAATGAGCATGTACGCACAGGTTCGACGAAATTGTACGCCAATGTCCGCGACTTGCCTGATTTTGATATGACTATAGTATGGTATCCTCCGCATGCGACGAAAGCAATTGGTACGGCAGCTAAAGTGGATATCTTTTTAGGTTTTATTTCGGTAACTGTATGAATTCCTAATCCTAGTTGTCCTTCCTTGTTACTACCCCAGGCAAACAAATCTCCGTCGTTGGTTAAGGCAATCGAATGCTCTACGCCACATGCAATTTGTATTATTACATTTGTACCCAATGCTCTTACCATACGTGGTGTACGTTCTGTACAATCCACGCTATTTAATCCTGCGAAACATAAACAATAATTATTGTATTCGCAATTAATGTTACAAAAGTGTCAATATTTTCATATGCAAGGAAATTATAAAGACGATATATTACCTAGTTGACCATTTAAGTTGCAACCCCAGCTAAAAAGTTGTCCCCACTCATTCACAGCCATTGTGTGACAGTTGCCACACTCTACTTTCTTGAATACAAATGCGTCCAAGCCAGGTATCAGTTCTACGTTTAAAATGACAACATATTTTAGTAGAAATTAAGTCTGCAAGCAAGTAAATATTTCAATCGTATGTTTAATTGTAAAAAATTTTACTATACTCACGTAACCTTTTCCTTGCTTTCTCGTGTCCAAGTTGTCCATAGTCGTTATTACCACAAGAATATACTTTTCCATCTTTAGTAAGAGCTACAGTATAATTTTCTCCACATGCAACTATAATTTTAATTTTTTATATAATTTTCTTGCAATCAAAAATTTTGTGTATGCTCTATTTAAGTATATCGAGAAACTTACTTTGCTCTATGTTATTAGTTTCTGAGAAATCCACTTCACGAGGCATAAAGATATTCTCATCTTCGATACCACCCAGACCCAGCTCTCCATGGATAGTACTGCCCCAACAAAACATTTTGTCGACCGTTAATTTAATCCGTTTTTCTGCTAGATCACATTCATACGTCGAGAGTTTCCTAGATCTTGCCTGTATCCACAGATATTTAAATAAATTAGTACTTTATCAAATTTCTATAAACTATGTATAATACCAGATATTATGCATTATTCACTTAATAAAAATTAAAACTAATTGATCTCAAAAATTGCACATTGGTATGTATATTCATTAACAAATAAAACTTTACCATAATTGGCACTTTTTAAAATGTTTAGAATTTTATAGATATATATATTAATAATGGTTTAATTTCATCATAAAATTAAATTTATAAATATGTATTATACATAGTTGTCACTGAGCAGTGTAAAAAAATTGATTTGAACACATGGTTTCACCAAAAAATGGATAATTCATTCTTAAAAATATACACTTCTTTTTTAATAAATAATAGAAATATAATTTATATGCACCATCAGTTGAACAGTTCACAAACTGCTTAATAATCTAATCAAGTCTTTTACTATTTGTCACTTTGTTTTTATCTGACGTGATTTTTAGTAATTCAAATATTTTCAAAACATTACGTGTTATTACGTTTCATTGTCAATTTTTAAAAATAGAATAATCAATTCATCTTCATAGAAATAAATTAATAATTTTCACCATTCTCTTTTGACCAATAACGTGAAGTAATTAAGCTACAGTGTATTTTACGAATAAATAATCCATAGCTGAAACCGAGCGTATCTATAGAGTATTTTGGCCGAGGCTACGTAAAAAGTCATATCGATGACTAACCATATTTATCTGTACGTCTTGTAAAAGTGTCAAGCTTGCGGGTGGGACATGATATTTACGCGAAACGTGTGGAATGTCCTAAAAATAATACTTCTTTGCAGTGGCACTTTTCGTGTGGCTTGGTGCTCCCGATAAGGTTGCAGTCACGTGGAGAATGCCGGAACATGGGCAATAATCAAATTGTGGCGGCCACGAGGACGTAAACGCCATATTTACGCCATGAACGCGGTGACGTTTATAACTGCATGTCACTTGTGAATTTCCAATCACGAAATTAATTCCTTACGTTTCCGCACATTCCTTTTTCGACAATCGAGGATTTTTTACAGTGTTCCAACTGACGAAAGACAAAATTTAGACACGTCGCGCAGCTGAGAGGTTAACTTGGAATACTTTCACCATAAGTTAATTATTCGTCTTGTTACTCGAATATTCTGGAAGAATAAGCTCTTCCTGTTGACCGTTGAACCGTTATTTCGAAAATGACAGTCATAAAAAAAATTAGAAAAATGACGATAATCCTTGATTACTTTTACGACAATAGGCTTTTGGAAGTGTTTTCATAAATGTATGTAAACAAAAAATTACTATTTCATGACGTTTCACAATAGACGACTCGTGCGAATTCGATTGTTCGCGATCATTCTTAAATTGATGATTCTAGAAAACGTGAAATGACACTGCGCAAATGTTACAATGCAACTCCCGCTTTTCTACCGAATGACATTCTTTCGTGGCGACATTCTCGCTTCGAAGAAAATCGAGGCTTCAAATGTCATATGAGGCGACCTTGAAACATGACAGGTGGAAGAGGAGATTAAAATTCATTAGCTAAATTTCGCAAGAATGCAGCGAACGGACCGAATGATTGAACGAATTATTGATTTGAAGTCTGTTCACACTTGGCTGAACCACCGATACCTGAAATCCGCGGCAATGTTTAGGTTTAGATTTAGGTTTAGGGTCAAGTTTAGGTTATCATCGCGTCGGTTCGCACAACAAGGCTCGACGATTCGGGTATACAAGCGAGAACGAGCGAGCGAGCGGGATGGCAGAAAAAAACCGCGACATCACTGACGGCGTAACAACAATACACGGTGGGAAGAGAGTAAGTCGAATTACTTAATAGTATTGTTAACGGTTGCGCTATTCGGTTTACTTCACTTACATTTTCGGTCGCCGGCTTGTTTCATGAGATGACGTGATTAAATCAGTCACGGCGAGTGACAGTCACACATTTCTCGAACGACCATAATTCGTGTAGTCCGACGTGGAGTCTGATAGTGAATGCATATATAGCCCCTCGCGCGAGACTCAACAGTCGCGAAGCCGCGGCACAGGGATGTACGAGAGATAGACGTGACTACCTTAAAAAAAAGTGCTTCTCAACCTGTTTTTTTTTTTTTCGTTAGTAGCATTATAGAGTTTAATTATTATTTTATTGCACATTTCAATAATACAAAACATAGTTTGTATGATTGTTTAAATAATGTTGCTCACAAATATGGTACAAGCTTTTTTTATTAAATCGTTAATTATATTTTTACAAATGTTTTCCACTCTATTATGTAAAAAAAGAAATAATATTATAGTCAATTAAAATGTTATTTATTTTTTAGAGGATATTTATTGCATCGTAAGCTTTTTTAAATTATTTTTTTATTATCGAAAATCAACCTAACCTAATCTAATGTTTTGTCTTACATGTAATGAAATATATGGCGTGTCTTCTCTGATATAGTCCGTGATGAGAACCATGAATTGCATCTGTTGATTATCACTTTCATTTGTCATTTTTTCTCGGAAAGGACTATTATCTAGAAAGATAATACATATATCAATTAAAGACAAAAGCTATCAAGTATTGTGTTCGGGTAGATAATTTTCTTTTTTCCTGTATTTTTTGACAGCTTTTATTTTTTTCCTTTTTTCAAATTCTGAATATATATTTTAGATGTAAAAAGTATAATATAGTATAATTAAAAAAATTACTTGCTTATGCAAGATTACTAAATGCAGTTTAACGCCTTATTTGCATTTGAGCGTTTACATTCACGCAATAGTTAATAAATTTATCTTCTTTTTCTATTTTACTAAAATATTTATTGTGTATTTCGTTAACATTGTCATATTATGTTACAATACAAGCACAGAAGTGTTGATTATCACACAGAATTTCTTGCTTCATAAAAGTCTTTTAAAACAAAGAACCAAGGTCACTTTATAGAAGCAATTTAATTTTTCTTTATTTGATTTTTTCAATTTACAATCGGATAAAGAAATTATAATAAAGAGTTAAAAATGAGCTAACCAACAAATTTATATCTAAATAGATATATCAATTAAAATTTAGAAGCTAAGTATAAAATTGTAATATTAAAATTACTTTTTAATATATAATAATCTTTTTTTTCATCTTTTTCTATATATATATTTAAATAATCACAAGTTTAAAAAGTCATCTCACTCTAAAGATGTATTCACATGCGTGATTTCATAATGCAGATACTTAACAGTGCTTAAGAAGACCAACCAATCGCGTGACACAAAACACATAATTGGTTGATATTCTTCAATATCACGTAAGTTGAAAACTCATACTAATTTGTAATTGTAGAGAGATGTCCCATCTTCATAGCGCGACATTCGTGCTCATCATCCCTTCCTCACTTCACTCCCACTTTTCGACGACGGATCGAGCTGGCGCAGCGCAAGTGGGCAGGCGGGTGGACAGGCGGCGGCCATATTGTGAGTGAGGTGTCAGTATTTTCCGAACGTGACGGGATTTTTGGGTGTGGATCGTGCGATTTCCTGTTTCGCTGTCGCTGTCCTCGCGAGGTAATAGCGCGAGTGTGAGAGTGCAGGCCGGGCCGTCGTGGATGTGCGAGTACACGTGTCACGGGAACTTCGGGAGCGCGCAAGCAGAATCAGGTAAAGTGCGTTGTGCGTTTTTCGTATCGTCCGTTCGCGTGTCGATCGGCATCTCGTTCTCTCTTGTTTCGTGCGCGCCGCGGTACGAATCGCTCGCTCGCATGTTCGTCGTTACACGCTCGCGGTGAGGATCCGCGATCGGGCGATCGGCGAGCCGAAAAAGCCGGACTTTTTGCGCGGCCGGCATTCGCGAGCGCGCCGGATTTTCAACGTCGCTCTTTAACCGGTAACTCTGATTGTAACCTCTGATTGCGTTTAATCGCATTTTTAAATTGTACAGTCGCAGTTTGGGATGCGATTCGGGGAGAAATGCAAAATTGTAGTCGGCGTTGATCGAAAAAATCACTCCGATTATAATCGTGCCAATCGGAGTAACCGCGTTTGTTTTCTTTCTTTATGCCTATTATAGAATTCAGAGCGTGATTCGGAAAAGGATGGAGAATCGGAGCTGCTTTGGCAAACTAGTCCAATTGCTACGACATCCGTTAAACTAACCATGTTTAATGTAGCTTTCTTTCTTTATGGGTCAATCTTACCAACGTCGATTAAGTCTTGCTGCAGTTGATTCTTTTTTGTTAGTATTATCTTTTTACTGTAATACGTTAGGTGTCATTAGTGGACGATTTAAGTTGTGATATCGGCAATAGTATACATTAATGGCCGGATTAGATCATGAAACGCTATTTCGTATTCATAAAACTGGTGAAAAAAAAAAATAAAGTGAGACAAGAATATTATATGAAATGTGATTTAGAAAGTGATAGCATGTGAAGCAAGTGTTAATTAACTAGTTTGTCTGTATATACACACACAATTTTTCTCTTAGATTTATATAGATATTTGACAAATATTTTGATATATACGCGACAAATATTTTGATATACTCGGGACAAATATTTTGGTAAATTCTCGTAAACTACGGGCTTTAAGTAAACATATAACGAAGTACTTTATTATTTTCAAGCTATGACGATTCCAATTACCGTTCTAGTTTTAAAAATACATATATATTTTCAAAATCCTCGAAGAATTTGTTATTAAAGTTACAGGTCTCCGATCGGAATATTGTATAATTATTTAAAATTCACGATTTTAGAAAGGAATCTTCAATCGCAATTGACGATTCGTTATGTTTGCCATAAACTGCATTTTTCTGTATTTATACGTATTTTATAATTAGAATGAGCGGAAGAAAAGAACGAGAGATCGGTTAACGGTGTTATTTATCTATGGCTGTGTCGGCTCGCCACTCATCCTTGGCCATCTTGTACCAGCGACACGGCTTCTTAACCTTTTGCTAAACCGTACGGAGGTTACGTTGCGCGAAGGTACTACTTCGTGTATGCTTGCTGTACCTCGCGGCGTTTTTGCGACCAGTCTTGTCGCGAGATCCTTGAATGCTCGTTCTCGCCGCACGTGCAGTGTTGAATGTGGCCGACTCTCGTCCGTGTTTACGCCGATTGAAGTTGTGAGTAATAATAATTTAGTTTCACTTGAAAAAAACTTGCAGAACACAGGTGAATACCACGAATTTTCAGAAATGTACATTTTACACTCTTAAAATTTTTTAAATCTACTAATCTGCCATAATATATAATTATTGGGGCAATTGTTATAAATTATTTAATTTCTTTGAAAATCTATGTTTAAAAAAAAAAGAAATGAATAAATTAGACAATAAATTCATGAATTATTTTCTTAATGTTGAATTGGTACTTTTATAGCATTTGCTATACGTATTATATAAATGATTCTCTTGGTATAAAATATTAAACATATGATTTATTTCGCGCATCGTGACATCATAACATGTTTTTTGACTATGCAGCGGAATTGAATCATCGCGGTTCTCATGATTCTCATGCGGATGTTGGCATGGGTGATTATCGCTTTCAGACAGAGTCGCATAACAAGGATTATCGCAGTAGATCGTGCGGCTTCCTTACGCTTAGCAGCGCGCAACTGTTGATATTTTACTTACTGTCAATCCCATTGATTTATAAATCTCCGTAATCGTGAGCCGTCGTAAGTGTAGGAAATCCGAGGCAACAAAAGCCGCTCTTGTTTCTCATTTCTGTTTCTTTCTCAAAGTGATAGAATTGTGTCAATATTTACATGTTTCGTTACATTATACAGATGTACATTGTCGCGCGTATACGGTGTCTGTCGAATGTTCTCATGTTTTTTGAAAATCGGAAAAATTATTTAGATCAGAGATACGTTTTATATCGCGATTTAATGCATTTTTTTTCCAAAAATTCTCTATCTGTGTTTAATCTTCGAAAGATGTTAAAGCCAAGTAAAACATTTTTATCTGACACCAGTTTCCGGGCTTTGTTCCGCAAAAGTTATCGCTTCTCTCTCGGAAGGAGGCCGGATGTTCGTCACATAGGTCACCTGTTAATTGCATGTGTATCGAAGTCGGCGTACGGTTTAATTACGGCGAATATCCCTGACCTCGCCATGCAGCATTTGTAATCAAGCTAGTCCGTGTACGTCGGTCACGTTGTACAAATTTGTCTGTAATTTGTCGATGAAAATCTGAGTCAACTTAAATGTGGATTAATTATCACGCTATTATTACAATACACTGGATATTTATTATTCATTAATATCATTGTTGGATCCGTGTTAATTTTACTTATATTTTTTATTACTGGCTATTTATCATTTTACTACTCTCGTTAAAGTGCTTTATCTCTGTTGTTTTACGACGAGGAAGATATTAATTATGAAATCATTATTAAATGATCGATACAATAAACGATCTCCGCAGCAACGAGAACTCGTCAATGAATGTCCTCGAGACTATGATTAGGTATTATTAGAGCTTATCAAAGGCTCGACTTTTTTTACCACGCACGTTTAACGGAAAAACACCCATCGCTATTATCTTACGTTGCCCTCGAACACAATCTATTGTGAATCTTCAATTTGGGACGATTTATATTTAATGGTAGTTACATTTACCTTTTCAAGTGGCGCTGTAGAGATAAGCGTTTAAATGTCGCTGCGCGATTCCGCGTTTTATTTGCTCAATGTCAAGATCGCATCGAATGTAAACACGGGACGGATAATTAGACGGTCATATCTAGGGATTGAACCGTAATTGAATAGCCGTCACGGAATCCTCGTTATCGCAAAAGCGGCGGAATTGCGATGAACTAATTATCTTAGACACTAATAAATAATCAAGATAAGTTGATAATCCAACTTGACATCATTTATAGTATATTTCTAGCGCTATATAAAATATAACAGCGATATACAAATAATAATTTAATAATCGCGATTTAAACGCGATTTAAACCAGTCTCGCAATGCTCGAGTGCGAATGTACTCGCTGTTTACTTTTTACTTTTTATATTATGTTGACAAATACGCACTCTTATTTATCTCAACAAGATCGAACGGAACGTGTTTTGTATCGAAGATAAATAGCTTCGCCGTGTAATTATCGTCTAAATTATCCAAGCGATACATTAATGTAATGTTAGTGTCTTGAACATTACATCGCAAATTTTTCTCGACATGTCAGTTGCAAATTTAAATAATAGCCGCTTGTTAGACATGACAATGATTGATTATTACGAAGAACTTTTTTCGAATCGATCGAAGAATTTATTCTAGATTACGAGGAATTTTTACCTTCCAATCAGTCTCGGCAAATGCACGTGCTCGTTTCCGACTGTTATTAATAGACGCGTATTCTCGCGGAGATAGGACACGCGTCTCTATCAGACAATTTTTTGATGACGAACGCCCGACGCATGCCGCGCGAGAGAGATACCGAGTTGGTTCAATGAACGTGTGTGCCGTTCGGGTCCTAGATAAAAGGGGAATGCTAGACGACAGCGCGACGCACCGGGCACTCCTGCAACGGATGTCGGTCACGCGGATTTGCATTATAACCCGTGTTCATTCCCCCTCTGATTCCGATGCGGCGGCTCGCCTCTCCGTGTCGCACAACTTCGGACTTTAAATTCGGGACTGAAGTGGACGAACACGAGAAAGATTATGGGCTTTACAAAGCATTGAAAAGTTGACGTGAAAGATTATTCCACAAATAGCAAAACGGATAACAGTCGAACAGATCAAATGAGCATGTTTTAAACTCAAGATAGTTTGCAGTAACAGATTTGCGTAGTTTTATCACGATTGCAAATATCTAGCTATATTTAATTTATTCCGGAATGCTAATTTTGATATAATTCTAATTGACTTTTGTGATAATAAATCAAATAAATGTTTATTTGTATAGCTATTTTGTAAACCAACTATGCGCAATTAATATTATTGCGAATGGTTTGAAATGATTAATTTTTAGATATTCATCACAATAATAATTTATGTAATAATCAATTTTGTGAAACAATTTGATTTTGACAGATTGTATTTTTATTACGGTAATAATTTCTATTGATAAGTTTGCACATTTATTCCTCAATCAATACTTAAAATATTATAGTTAGAATCGTTGGCAATAATGTGTCAAAACATTTGATTGATTTTTACGATTAGTTACATCACGAATTCAGTATACGGTCCTATCGTTGACAGGATTGTTTTTCAAAACAATCTTATACTGATCATATCTTTTTCTTTTTATGCTATTTTTTACTACTAGTTTTTTTCCTTTTTTCTATCTTCTTGAATGCAATTATTATTTTAACCAATACATTCATTTTAATATAAGATGTTTCGATTTTTTACATAATTATATCTCACTTAATTAGCGGACTTGAACGATCGCGAGAAGAATCACTTACGCAATCTTTATATTGCTTATATCATTACAGCTTTTTTTGTTTTTGCGATGCACACTGTATTTAAAGTAGCACGACAAGAGGGCAACGATTACAAAGCATATGTAGATGTATATATTAATTATAATTAACAATCAGTTGTCAGTTAACGAAACATCCAACGAAATTTATACCTAATTTGAACGTCAAGTGGACATTATTTTTTAAAAGAGTAGTAATTCAAAGTTCAATTGACACTTAAAAATTTTATCTCGGTATTTTGCTATTAAAAATTAGAAGATTAAATGACGATCTGTTTGATATATAAAGTTGAAAACTCGTTGACATCTTTATAACGGCCGATTGGTGTGCGACACTTGTTGAATCAGATGTGATCTCATATCAAGTCAATGCCCGATATCTGTAAATCTGGTTTATACTGGATTAATTAAAACACGTAACTCTATTTAGCGCTATTGACATCTAGCAATTGTATTACAATTTACTTAACACTCAAATTGTTACGATTCGACGACTGATTAAATACTTACGCATCGGCCAATATATCTGCACATTACATAGTATTAATAAATTTTGAAAGCATTTCGACATTGCTGTGCTGTGATATCAATGTTGTTTCATAAAATCAAAGCGTTGTTTGATTTTCTATCGGAATATTTAATATAAATTCGAAAATTAAATTCAGAATATTGAAAATAAATACATTTTATGTGCTTGAATGTCTATGCTAATTATCTTCATTTAAGAAATTAGATTTTAATTTTTCTGTTTTCTTTTTTCAGAAGGATAGTTCCGCTGTTTAGTACGACAAAACACAGCTGCCACGATGCCGAAGTCGGTATGTATTCTTGTTATCATTTCGCAATTGTATATCGATGCTTCGATGCATCAATAGCAAACGCGTGCATTGAAATTCTAAACTATCGATATTGTTATCTGTTACAGTTTTTAGAATGATTCTAGATTTTTAATGAAAATTACAGCTCTATATTTAGAAATAATTCTTGGTCAACAGTATATATATTAACAAATTATTTAAAATATTTGTCGCTTTTTTTAATAATTGATAACATTAATTGCTAATATTTTATTGCAATAAAAGAATTTAAAAGTTTGAGCAGAAGTTTAAACAATTCTGATGACAGAATTTAAATACGAAAATTCTGGATTAATCGAAATGTACTTATATGACGCGATTTACGGTCGCACATTCGCGAAATATCGAGCAAATTTTACGATACTGATATAAAATAACACATTCACTTTGCAATAATTTATGCACGATAAGATTAGTAGCCAATTTATTCGTACGAAGTAACGACTGGTGATGCTAGTGAACAATATGAATTCTATCAGACGATATTAACAAAGAAACAAATATTGAAATCGATATAATTACAGTTTAATTGATAATTTAATTTGATGCTCCAGTTTACATCAGATAAAATTTTCATCAAAAGAAAAGAACACATTTCACATTCAGCATAATATGTTCGAATAAGATGGAAGAAAATATGCATGTTTTTTACGTGATGCGCGACAAAGAAATAAATATTGAAAATGTGGTCTGTTTCTGAAGTTGCAGCGGCTTTAAGGCGCCGCTTTTTGCGTACATTACGTAAGGTGATATCTTTTATTGAGATCGGTGGTAATGAACACTTGCGCACAGAAATAAAACGTATTCTATTGTGTGAACGTTTGCCGTTCGCAGCTGAATCTTTTTTTTATGTAACCTATTCAAGTACATACACGTTTATTACAAAAAGAAAATTAGCGTCTTATTTGTATTTAATGTGATTTTTATTTTCTTGTTATGATAAAACTATTCGCACCTTTATTTCCTTGTAATAACTGGCTTCTCGTTTTTGCGGTCATAAATTCATTTACAAAAAAAAAAAAATAGCGAAGACTTCTCTTTTATTCAAAATACAGACCACATTTTCAGACAGTAGTTAAAACCAACAAGAAGAGATCAATAGTAATTTGCACAAAGCCAAATTGACCATGTTGTGTAACTGAGTTGAGATTGAATTAAGAAAAAAAAGAAAACCGTGAAGTTAAACTGAACGAAGAGAAAAAGAATAGAATTATTAAATTATTTGAGTTGTATTAAAAAAATAGCAGTATCATATTGAAAATAACTAAGAGGAATTGTATTCGTCGTTTTCATTCATCTCTTTTACGTATACTTCAGTCATTACTGGTTTCATTTACGTAGGTCGGTGACGACATAAAGGAATGCGATATTGCACATATTGCAACGTGAAAGGCATCGGCCTTTAACGCATCTGAGGCCGACTAAGAATATTTCTGCAAACTTCTTATTGACGAAAGCTATCAGACTCGATATTTGTCTGAAAGGGACCGAGCGTGGGGAAATTCAATATTTTCCCTTCCAGGATGTCGTTTCATAAAGTAAGATGACTCGCAATGTCGGATGATGATCGAGACAAAAAGAAAAGAAAAACAAATTGACGTACCATGTCAATTTCGTCGATAACGAGCAGTTTTGGACTTCGCTTTCAATCATAACTTGCAAATCAATTTCTGATTAGCATAAAGTGAACATTTTATGATTGTGCTGAAATGTTCCGTGATCAGAGTCTGGTATTGCAAGTCAGCTTTGTGAAACAGGATCGCGGTAGCGCTCGACGAGGCATCCTGTATTAATCTGATACGAATAGAATGCGTTCCGCGCACCGCCTACGCTCTACATTTTATTAAACGATACCTGCGTCGAGTTGTCACGCGCAAAGATAAGTAAGTAAGAGCTCGTGCTCGAACTTCCGCGTTCTCAGGAAATCCGCGCTGGTGATGAATGATTACGTAATCAAATTAACGTGCACGCGCGCTCGCGCGCGCAAGATCGCAGCAACGGTCGCGCGTCCGCCAGTCGGTCGGCGGCAACGCGCGCAACCCGCCGGTTCCCGAAAAACGTTTATCGTGCCCGAACGTTACGTTCGTACACGGGACACTCCGGCATTCAGGCGGGGTCGCTTCCTTCCGCGCGGCACTCCGTATCGCCCTGGCGTTCGCGTGTCGCGATTGGTCGACCGTCGCGGACCGGCTTCCCCACGTGACCGCCCGTTTCGTGCAGAGCGGGAGAAACGTTGCACCGTTTCGCGTCTATGAGAGCGAGAGGGGAAACAAACGCCGGCGGTTGCACTTTACGTCTTGCGGCCCATTGTGTTGAGCACGAGAGACCGGTGAAGGCGACCGCGGGCCCCGTCAAATTTTGCGCCATCGACGTTATCGAACGCCGTCGTCGCCGTCGTGTCGTGTTTCGGTCGTCCCGACTTCGTGCGTGTTCGCCGTAGCGTTCGCGATTTCTCGCGAATTTCAATCGGTTTCCCGCTGTAAAAGTGTTCAACGAATCTCGCAGACATGGTCGCCGGCGGCAAAATGGTAAACCAGCCGTTAGTCCCAACGCATGCACCTGGATATATTCAAAAATCCAATCTCAATGTGCACTCCAAATCTATCGAATAACGTTTGCATCCTGCCTTCGACACCTTATGCAAGCTTTTACATGGAAGATTTATGCGCTTAGGATATATTTTTCGAAATAACGTTTCTAAGAAAGAGATACAAGTTTAAAATAATGTAAAACCAATTTATTTGCTAATCTGAAATCTACAATGCTGTGCACGAAACGATTGAATATCATCTCGTTCTACCGGGTGACGCTCGCATAATTTCTAACGGCGTCGTTTTATTTGCATGTGCTGTGCCGTGAAGATGAACGTCAGGGTGACGACGATGGACGCCGAGCTGGAGTTCGCCATCCAGCAGACGACCACCGGGAAACAGCTATTCGATCAAGTTGTGAAAACCATTGGGCTGCGTGAGGTATGGTTCTTTGGCCTCCAGTACACCGACAATAAGGGCGACCTTACCTGGATCAAGCTGTATAAGAAGGTAAGGATATACTTATATATTCGTACATTTTTCTGCATCCTGCTTATTCGACGCCCCGTAGCTGGGCTTTAATCTCTTCCTCCGGTAGTTTGTCCAACACCCAACTAAAAAAAAAATCTGCGAAAAACAGCTCTTTTCAAGCTTAATATTAAGTTATAATTATTCATGTATTTGTGATTAATATTGAAGAGCATATATATTTAGTATTTTTATAATAATATTAATTATATATGTGATTATTTAAAATTCGGTATGTCGATATCAACAGCTTTCGACTTTGCGTGTGCTTTTTTTTCTAAATTTGTAAAAGTATGCATTTGCATAAAAACTTACATAAGAATAATTACTTGTTTTTCGTATCACACGAATAAATTACAGAGCGCGTTTATGTGGCGAAGATCGAAACCGGTTCCGAAGTTTGTGCTAGCTTTAGTGGCGATTCGAGAGTGTTAGCTACAAGCGAAATTCCTCTGTGATCAATTTTCGATGTCGGATGGCACTGAAAACCGAAACCCCGCAGACGGTTGTGCCATCAGCATCGCGTGACATACGAGGTCCACCCGCGCGTATCCACGTGTATACGTCGCGAAGGAAAATGAAAAATGGAAATATTCAAAATTATTGGGTCAGGCGATGTTCTGAACGTTGCAAGGTAGCGTCTGTTTTGTAAAATTATAGCTCTCCACCGTAAAATATAACCCTGAGTCGTAGTTAAATACCGTTGCAAGCTGAAACTACAGTGGAAAATATAACTGTAAATATTGAAATAGAAAAGTTAAAGTTTAAACCATTATCTACTTAAGTGAGCAATGCGTTTAAGCACATAGTTTCAGTCATTTGTTTTTTAATCGATTTATATTATATTAACTAACAGTTTGAAAAAAAACTTCAATTTTTCATAATGAAGAAACAAAACGTGTAGAGAAAGCATGCGACAAAAAATATGCTTTCTTTAAAGTTTTATAAAGTATATTTGGAAGATAAATGCTGCTTAAAAGCAGAAAAACTTGTGTAATACATTTCAGAAATTATTCGAAATATTATATATTATTTTACTTCGACTTGAAGTTCAATTTTTTTTACATGGGTTAACTTCATTGCCGTTGATTTCGATTAAGATATATCAGATTTTTCTCGCGTATAAATTTGCGTATCTTCGCGGTCGAGCGTACATCAGATTTACGCTTACGCGCACGTAAAGTATATGGAATTAATGCATAGAGCAGAAAGTAATTGTCGACTTCCTAAGAAATTGTACGCAGCAAGTGCCTCGGCAATAATGTGCAGAGATCCTAAATAGCCGGCCGATGATGGAGTACCATTGCGTCGATTCACACGAAACCTGTTTTTAGGCGACTGCAGTGCGGCAGTCAGGACTTTCTAGGATTATATTTCCTCAATTTCTTTTTTAATTGCGTTCACGCATGCATTTGCGAACGCATATTACATCTCTTCCGGCCGGAGAGGCCATCGGCACGTGGATTAAACCGTTATTTAATCTAGTTTTATTACTTAATGATTATTTTTTAAGTTTCTTAATTTATATTTGTCTATTATAATATTTATTCTTTTTTAAATCTATTCTTATTTCTTTGGCTTTTTCGTTCCAAATTTTTCTTAATCGGAATATATCGTGTGCGCTTGGCGAGTTAGCTTTTTATTTTATCGTATGCTTAGCCGGCGATAAAAGTGTTTTCTTACAAAGTTTCTTAGATCTTCTCAGTTCGTCGGTGACAAACGCTGATGTCATCGACTTTCAAGTGCGAGACACATGTTCCATGTTTTTATGCTGCTTTTTTTCCGAACGTGATGTACCGCGAGTGCGGTTTTTGCGATCCGTGTCACTCAAAGACGTCATAGAAGTGCACAAACTTTCCTTGTCTCGGGAATTTACTTAAAGAATTGCATAATTCAGCGAAAATTGAAAGTTTATTTTTTTTTCAAGCTTTTGAATATTTCGAAAACCTCTTTCGGATGTTTTTTTTAAATTTGGGAGGAAATTATTATTTCTTTTATCTCTATGTTAATTTAAAAAATAAATATGTATATGTAAAATGCTTTATAATTTTTTACTAAAAAAATTTCGTGATATAAATTTTGTTTTATTTTAATTCGCTTTAAAATTGTATTTAAAAATGTTTCAAATCATCAGATTACTGTTGTAGTTTCGCATAACTTTCAAGAATTGCAACTTCAAAATGGGGACTAGATTACGGATCGTGTTGGGTTTGAGAAACTTTCAAAGCGCATTTTTTTGTACGATTTGCATTCCTGGTTGACTATCTTTCTATAAAAAGTTTACTATTTGTTTCATTAAATTTTTACTGCATCTTTATTGCATAATTTTCCATTTTATGTAAGTCAATATAATTATATACGAGATGAGGAAAGTGCATTTTTTATATCAAAACTTTCGCTGTGATTTAGCTTACAAAAAGAGACTTTTTTTACCATTGACGTTATATGAACCGATCCTTACGCGTGTTTTGCGCATTAATGTCGATGTTCGATGACTGGGCATCATCCGATTTTGATACTTGCTCGCGAACGAACGACTTCAATTTTCGAATCCGAGTACAGTTACTCGCAGACACTTCATCGGCTTTCACCGGCTGGTTGAGTGTTGAAGACGACGCGCCTTCACCTTGACATAGTCGGCACTTGTCGCTCGACTGGTCGCCTTTTTCAGCGGAGCGAGCGGTTTTCTCGTCGGCGACAACCTGTTTCCAGATTTTTTTCTACTATCGTACTGTCGTGCGTGATCTTTAGCTGGACTTTCGAACGTTATCGGATAGGAAAAGAGGGAAAAACCGACGTGACAGGTGCACGTCAGGTGAAAACTAAACACATGGTTGAACAGGCACACGAACTCGTAGCCGACAGTAGCCACCGAGTGGCATACAGTAGCAGCTGGTGTGGCCTCAAGTGGCGGCATCTCATTGTCAGCAGATCTAAACATTCTGTTTCAACTTAGAATTGTTTTACAGCTATAATTGTTTATCGCATTTTTCAATATTAAGCATAAGATAAAATTACAATTCGTATATTCTAATTGATATTCAATTATAATACTATTTTAAAAACATAATTCATTAAATCTTTTGAAAGATGTGCCAATTTTCAGGACACATTCAGCTCTGTTTTTATGCAATTGTTCAGCTCCTAAATAGAAGCTAGATTTTAAAAAACCAATGTACAAAGCTAGCATACAACCGAACAAGGTCTTTGTGTTCATGATTTATTATTTATAATAATGTAAGCCAATAAACATACATTTCGGCCTTGGCCATCTTCAGTGTGAAAAGAAACAATTAATAAAATAATCTTTTAGCGCAATCGCAAATTTCTTTTCACACTGAAGATGGCCAAAGCCGAAACGTATGTTTACTGCCTTACATTATTGTAAATAATAAATCTTGAGCACAAAAGTCCTTGCTCGGCTCTTTGTATATTGGTTTTTTTAATTTTACCTAATGAAGAGCCTTTAAAAATTATTTTTTATTTTTAACTAGACTTCAAATTTATAATATATGTAGAAATAAATTTTATTTTAAATCTGAAGCAAGCGTAGAGAAGCCATTTGACTCATCTCTCTTGTCAGAGTTTGTCAATCACGGTAGTTATTTACACAATATCGCTACAGCTTGAAAAGTACATTTAGATATGCGCTACCGTTAGCCCACTTCCATGCGATAAATAAAACATCGAAACTAGATTTCAGCGTGAGTAAATAGTTGGAGAACAAAGATGGGAAAGAGAATACGTGTTAACGCACTAGGAAGATATTCACCGCCGTTTATTGCGATTCGTATTTATCGCGAGAAAGCAGAGTTTCGTTCATCGTATTTTAATGAGGGGTTTCGGATATGATTTTATTTTTTATTTAAACGGACTTCCTTTACAAACGCGAATCGTGTTCTTGATGTCGCTCAAACGCAATTTATCACTTATACATTTTTGTCCACAAATTTTTTTTGTTCGAGAATTTGTTTCGCTTTTAAAGTTACGCGGAGATCACATTAATTGTGAAGACAACGCTAGCGTTTGAAAAGATTAACGCGCTCTTTATTTGCAGAGATTTACCGCGACTTTTGATGATTTTATAATAGATAATTTATAAGACGTACATCAACTCAACATCATCGAAGATTAGATAACTCAGTTATGTTATCTGTTGTCACAGATAGCGGCGATGATTGTGTAGCTATATACGTAAATGAATTCGTGATTTATTATTTTTCGAATGAAAATGTTTTTTATTCGTCGTTACAGTAGATTGATCGTTCGCTCGATTATGCTCCGATCGCATCCCCCGTAATGCGCTAATTAATGGCCTGCGCACGTGTAGAACGTTCGTATAAATTTTCCCTTAATGATAAGGACGATTGCACGCAGCCGGAAAGCGCGATAGCGAGGGTGGTGAAGAAAGAGGTGAAAAAGAAAGTTCGAAAGCTGAGAGGCTGCTCGGACTCTGACACGGACGACGACGAGTTCGACGACGGCTTGGTAAGAGTCTGAAGGGACGCGATCGTTTCACACGTACTCCTGGGAAAAGCTGAGGAAAAGTGAGAGGGAATGTTGAAGAATGACGACTAGTGGTTAATTGTATGTAGGGTCACCGTGTCTCTTTTGTATGTAATTAAGGCGGTAGTGAAAGAAACTTCTCAAGGCACTTGAAAGTTCTGAAAAATATGCAGAGCACTGGGATAATTTTTTAATTTATATTACCGCGAGGAAAAAGAATGAAACAAGGACGAATATTTTTTTAAATCGGAATACAAGAATGTGTTGTTAAAAAATTAAAAATTTTTCAGCAAGCAATCGATTGATAAATTAAATCCATAAGGATATGCATATTTATAGATTTTTTTGCTAATTTGAAATCATACTTTTTTTAAGCAAACCTCCAAGCAAGTTCTTTAATATTTAATATTTTTTTAGCTATTTAAATTATGAATAAATAAGAAGATTGCTTTAAATTAATTTAAAAAAAAGGTTTT